TATATATATAGTAACTAGGATTCCCGGTGCCACATACCCTGCTCTGTTTTGTCGTCTTCCCACGGCACTAACTCAGCTTCTAACAAGCTATATGATCTGCCTTTTTATTTACCTGTGTCCTGTACTGGAGTTTAAGGCGCCTTTCCCCACCCCCAGGCAGGGGTCTGCTTTGCCCAGCTTTGATGTCCACCGAGAGCCTGGGCAGTGGCTGGCCACAGGAGGCGCTCAGTAACCCTGTGTAGACCTTAGCAGTGCTCCCAGCCCCTTGGGTCCACCGCGGGGTGTGGGCTCACCCTACAAGTGCCCTCGCCCTCCCTGGCCCTGCCTCACAGCCCCCTTTCCCTCAAAGCAGGCCCTGGGACGCAGCAGAGAGTCCAGGGGAAGCAGCCAGTGCCACCTGAGGAGCCCGAGCAGGAGGGCAATGCAGTGGAAGGGGAGCTGGCAGCCCTGCCTCTCCCTTCCGCAGCCCTGAGCGGAGAGAACGTGGGCGTCGGGACAAGGGACCCCATCGCCCTGGCCCTCCCAGGCTCTCTCTTCATGGAAGGACTTGCGGATTCGGCCCTGGAAGATGGTAAGTTCGTGGCCAGTGTGGCTCTCCTGGTCTCCCTGGTCAGACACCTACCGCTGGCTGGCCGGAGCCCCCCCAGCTGCACCCAGCCCTGCAGCATGGCCCGGCCCCCCACCCTGGCACAGTGTGAGTCCTGTGCTGGGGAGGCCAGCATCACCTTTCTCCCCTCCAGTGGAGAACCTGCGGCACCTGATCCTGTGGAGTCTGTTGCCAGGTCATGGCACGGACACTCGGGCCGCTGCAGAGCCTGAGGACGACCTGACACCCACACCTTCCATCATTGGCGTCACCACTCACCCCTGGGACCCGGGCTCCCCAGGGCTGGCTCCCACTAGCGGTGACGGGGACAACGCCGTGCTCCCAGGGCCAGAGGGAGGCCAGCCGGAGCACGAGGATGCAGCTCGCTCCCTAGCACTCCTGCCCCCAAGGACCAGGAATTCTGGGATCTGGGAGTCTCCGGAGCTGGATAGGAATCCAGCTGAAGAGGCCTCAAGCACAGAAGAAGTGGGGAGCTACAAAGTTGTGAGAAAAGGTAAGATACATTGGCATGTCCGCCAGGGAGGCAAACATTGCTTTTGCTGGGGTAGAGGTGAGTCTTGTAGATGCTTCTTCATCCCTGTCTTTATCCTGGGGACTCAGTGAGGAGAAAGGGGCACTGGGTTCTGGGGGAGGAGGCGCGTCCATACCATGCAGAGGCTTTGGAGTCAGACAGTTGAGGTTCAGAGCCTTAGCTCTGCTGTTAATGTCTGTGTGACCAGAGACAAAATTGTGATCGTCTCTGAACTCCATTCTGTAATATATGAGGACATTTCCTACCACCAGCAAAAGTCAGCTACCACTACAAGTTTCTATTCTTCCCACCCTCAAAACAAGATAGATGCAGCCGGAGGGGAGGGAGGGACTGCCTGAGGGAACCAGGTGAGGAAGGGCGCTCAGCTGGGAGAATGAGGATGGGCGAAGGGCCCTCACAGCAGGCCGAGCTGAGGAGGAGCGCAGGGCCGGAGTGTGGAGGGAAAGACACCGCACACTGGCGCCACAGCGGCTTCCAGTCCCCGTCGCGCCCCGTGCTGCCTCTTGCCCTGTCCACCTGAGGTGTGCCCACTCCTGGTTTCTGGGAACTGACCTTCTTCCCTCTGTCTTTCGGTGAAGTGCTGGAAAGTTCTCCGCAGCTCCCAGGAGCTGACCATGTGTGATCTTGTGCTCACAGTGTTCCTCCCTTTTCTTGTTTCTGCCACCCTACTGCTTCCCCTCCTCCTCGCTCACTCCCCTTTCCTTGCCTTCCGGCCTCTCCTCTCGCTGGTGGTGGTGGTGGTGTCGGTGCAGCTGAGGTGGCAGGCAGCGAGGCTGTCCCTGCACTGCCAGAGAGTGGCCAATCAGAACCTGAGCTGCCGGAAGTGGAAGGCGCAACAGAGGCTCCGGGTAATCAACTTCTCCTTTAGCCAGAGCGAGGCAGGGCCTGGGGCAGAGCTGGGCCTTGGGCGTCAGACCTTGCCTGAGGTGCCGGTGCCGGTGCGCACCGTCTGGAGTGGGTCAGGACCTGTACCACAATCGAACCTCCAGCTTTTGAAAACGGCTCCATCACGTCTCATCTCGTCCCGTCCCATCCTGTCCCGTCCCGTCCCATCCGGGAGCTGTGTGGCCCCTTTCAGAGCACTGGTTAGGCAGCCTGTCCCCCTTGTGAGGTGAGGCGCAGCAGCCAGCTGGGCCCCAGGCCCCGGGCCACTGTGCAGTCTGACTTCTATGGCCTCCCAGATTCCTCCATGCCCACTCACACTGCTTCTCTCGTGGCCTCTGGCCTCCCTCTGCTGTGACGGTTCAGGAGGGCAGCAATGACACCCATGGCAGAGCTTGAGCTGAGGCAGGGTGAATGAGGCCACTGCCACCTCTTCAGAGGGTCTGAAACCTGCCCTAGTCTTCCCTTCCCTTCAAGGGCTGGAGCCACTCCTGGCTCCCCACATGGGACCCTGCCCCTCCCGTCTGTCCCATCACCAACACCTCCCTGGCATGTGGCCAACCTGAGCAGAGCTGCCACTGAGAGGAAGAGCCAGATGCGCTTGCGGCCTGCATGCTCACACTTGGCAGAGGAGGCTGCCCGGCCCACCCTGCCTCTGGCGACCTCGTGGGAGGGAACTTGGGTGTCTGCCTGCCTCCTGATCTCTCTCTCTCCTCGTGGGAACAGGGAACTGTTTCTATGTCAGCATGCCAGCAGGACCAGTGGACTCCAGCACCAACCCTTCAGGGGCACGCACAGGCCACCCCCAGCCACAAGCAGGCAGTGGGGATCCGAGACTCCCTAGCCACTCTTCCCCTGGCCTGGCCCTCAGGGACGTGGGCATGATCTTCCGCACCATCGAGCAGCTCACCCTCAAACTCAACAGGCTCAAGGTGAGGGGCATGGCCAGGGGTCCCTGGAGGCCTCCAGCCTGTCATCTGCGATCGTTCTCCAAGAGTGAGGTGTCCGTGGGAGCCCTAGACCCAGCCTCTGCCGGCCCTGTCCTGGGCCAGCTCAGCTGGGAGTGTGAGCGCCCTTCCCACAGGGCCTGTGAATGGAGGAACCTGAGCAGACCGCCCAACCTCCCCGACTCTTGCAGGACATGGAGCTGGCCCACAGAGAGCTGCTCAGATCCCTTGGTGGAGAGTCCTCTGGCGGCACCACACCTGTGGGCAATTTCCACACAGACACGTCCAGATGGACAGACAGCTCCCTCTCCCCTCCAGCCACCCTGGCCTCTGAGCCCCGGGATAGCCATGAGCCAGAGTCCCACCCTTCGGACGGTGAGTGAAGCAGCTCCGCTCCGCCACCGTGAGGGGCGCTGGCGCTGATGATCTGGTCCTTGCCTAATAACTCACTTCCTCAGCTCCAGAAAGTGATCCTTTTAAAGACACCCACAGGAGATCCCCTGAAGATGGGGCCAGAATTCCACCCTCTTTTGCCTTGTGCTATGGATTATGCACAGAGGGAGCCTGGTCTCACATCTATGGCCTTTCCTTATTAAACACTCAGAACCAGTTCAGTGGCTCAGAGGCACACCCAAGTCCTCACTCAGGAAGACAAAGCACGTGCCCACCTCATCTAGGGATTTGGGGGCTGGCGGAACAGGAGTGGGGTTTGGTACACAGCCTTGTTCGGGCCCTCAAAAAGCGAGGGTTTCTGAAGAGGGAGGAGGGCTTTCTAGACAGCACACAGAGGGCTCAGCTCAGGCAGAGCCAGCTCCTCACCCCTGCCATTCTCACAGGCTGTGACACCCCTCCGGAAGACAGCACTGCAGACATACCTGTGTCACCAGGACTGTAGCCACCATGACAGCCAAATCCTGTCCATCCCTTCTCAGCAGGGACGAGCCTGAGGCAGGGGCGCAGGCAGGGGGACCCCGGACGACCTCTTTGTGGACGGGGCAGTGGGGAAACAGATGCAGCCAAGGCTCGGGGAGACCTGCATGTTGCTTGGTGTGCACAGAGCGAAGTCTGCACACCAGTCTGTCTTCCCCCTCCCTGCAGCCCTCCTGGGCCTGTCCCCTGAGCATGCCGACCGCATGTGCGAGGCCCTGCTTGCCCAGCTGGCAGTGGTCTGCCTGCGTGCAGGTGAGAGGCAGTGGCTTCAGTGTAAATGCACTTCCTTCGGCCCCTTCTCCTCGGGACCCCAGGCCAAGCTGGGTACCTCTCCTCTCCTCTCGTCACTTTGGTTTCCTATAAATACGTATGTATTGTATGTGCATCTTTGCTGTTGTAAATACCTTGAGCTCTCTGTCTCTGTCCCTGAGTGCTGGGGCTGGTTATGGAGCAACTGCTAGGGAAGAGGGGTGGGGCTGTCACCCACCCAGGCTTGGGCCCTGTGCTGTCGAGGCCTCCTGGCCCCTCCTCTGGGCCCAGTGCTCAGCTGCCAGGTCTCCTAGAACTTGCAGGGCCCTCGGTCATCAGCGGCCGGGGCCTGTGGGGAACTCGCACCCTCGGTGTCCTCCCCCCCAGCCGCCCCCAGAGAAACCCGCGTAGCAGGTACGGCGCTGAAGATGGACCCCAGGAGGGCCGGGGACAAAAATGCTGACGGCCCTGGATTAACCCGGGACACCCTGGGGCCGCCGTGGCCTTGGGCATCAATCACCCAGTCCTCACTGCAGCCCCACCGATGACTAGGATACACACACTGCGCTAGGTGTATATATACATATATATAAATATATATAATATATAAGATACAGATATGGAAATGACTGTTTTGCTGTTAAGATAATGTATACTCTTATTTTCTTCCTTTCATGGTTAAGACTCTTTTTTAAGAAAAGTTAAATATTCTTCAGTTGTGTGAGTGATTCTTGGGACCGCCGTGATAAAGACACAACCGGTACTGCTCCTGATGCCTGGGTCCTTTCCCAGAGCTTCCCGTGTGGCTCGCCCAAGGGGGTGGGAGCCGCTGGCTCATACAGCCCCAGGCAGCTCACAGTGCACACACAAACGCAAAGGAGCAGCCGCCGGGCCTCAGGAGCTGACCGAGGTGCGGGTCGTGCAGGGCAGGCAGCACCTCTGCCTCAACACAGCCATGTCGACAGTGGTTGTGGGGGAGGACCTGGGCAGGGCTGACAGGAAGCTGGGAAGGAGCAAGCGAGCAAGCGAGGCGGGCCAGTGTCACCGGCCAGGGTGGGCCAGGGAGAGGGTCCTGGTCAGCCCTTGCTCTTGCGCTGGGCTCCTCACTCAGGTCGCACTCTAGGCACGGGTTACCTCACTCCAGATGTCGGCTGAGACTGCTGCCCGCTCTGGTCTTTGCCGAGTCGGTGCTGAGATACGTTGCGCCCTCTTCAGAGTGGCTGCCTAAGCTTTGCGTATTTCCCTAACAGCCCTGGCCTCTTCCGGGCCCATCAGGCACCTAGGTGAGCCAGCCGGGGGTCAGGGATGGGGCCAGCTCAGCACCCTCCTCCCCCAGCAGGGGCGAGAGGGGCCTGGGCAACCAGGAAGTAGCCCTCAGGAGGCAGAGGGGCAATTGCCCAGCCAGCTGGCCCGGAGGGGCTGAACTGGGAGGTGATTCGGATCATTCCTGACCAGTGATGTGAACAGATCGTGGCCGGATGTCACACGAAGTTCTGAAGCAAACTTTTCCAACACCCACAGGAAAGTACAGCAGCAGACTTCCTGGTCTGAGGTCTGCCCTGGGGCTGCCCACAGATGGTGACAACAGGACATGTCTGTGGCCCAGAGCCTCAGTGAAGGTGGTGGGGCTAGGGCCAGAAAGGCTGGGCCTCCTCGTCCCCAAGCTTGATCTTGATGGGGTCCTTCGGCAGCAAGAGCTCCTGGATCATGGTGTACATGGGACACTGTGGGTTGAAGCAATTTTTCTGAAGAAAGAAAAGGAAGGTTGGCAGCTGACAGGAAGGACGATTAGTCCTCTACGAGAAAAAAGATGCCCTGGAGCAGGGCAGGTGAGGGGCGAGCAGACTTGGAGTGAGTCACACTGCTGATCTTAGGGAAAGAGGAACATAGCTTATGCTGTAACTTCAAAAGACCCACCTCGGAAACAGGACCCAGAGGTGCCTGTAGCAGTGGGGAGGGAAGGACTCACCGCCAGGGACAGCCATAGCAGCCCCACTGGGCTCTTGGACACACTCTTGGACCTGGAGAACTGCGCCTGGTACTGCACTGCTGTGAGGAAGCCCTCCAGCCCCACCTCTGTGATTCGGTTTCCTGGTGGTGGGAGGTGGCCTGTCACACCCTCCGCAGCCTGCTCCTCCAGGCTCCATCCCCAGACCCCCGGCCAGCCCTCCACCCCAACTGCGACTGCTTCCTTCACCCTTCACCACCTGTCTTCCTGTCCTCGGCCTCCTCCCTGGCCCAGCACTTCCCCTCGCCCCTGGCCTCTGACATGATGCCCAACTGGAGCAGTAGGTGTGCCCCTGAGAGTCGGGTAGGCATCCTCCTGACAGGAACTGCACGGGGGGGTGGGCAGGGAGACTGGCAGACATACGGAGGAGATTGAGGTGCAAAAGGACCTTGTTCCCAGGCATGAAAACCTTCCCGTCTCGGTGCTCCATGGGCTCCAGGAGGGGGTTGATCATCTCTGTAGCTTCTGCAACCAGCTGCTAAAGCAGAACACATTGCAGCAGAGGAGAGGGGAGCTGCTCAACGGGCCAGTCATTCATTCATTCAACATAAATGTGCATGCTGGCTCGAGTCCAGGATCTGTCCTAGGTGCTGGGGACACCAAGATAAATAAGCCCATACTCTCCAGAAGCTGTTTGGTGTGTGGGACCCAGAGTGAAACAGGAACTCCGGATGGCGAGGCCCCAGAACAGGTAAGCTGGGAGTGCTATGGAGTGCAGTGGGAGGACTTCTAGCCCCATTCGGGGGTGGGAACAGCCAGAAAGATGTGCCTGTGAGCTGCAGTGTGCAGTGTGAAGCTATTGACACTTAGCTGAGGGGAAGGTGTTCAGGCAAAGGACGTGGCAGATGCAAAGGCTCTGCAGGCTGGAAACAGCGCACAGAATTTGGCGTACAAGTACTTCCTAACACTAGGGCAGTGAGGGCGAACAGGCAAGGGGACAGTGAGGGCACGTGAGAAAGGGCTGGTGGGAAGTAGCCTGCCAAGACAGGCAGAGGCCACAGTGGTTCTCCTCCATCCAACTTCCTGCTTGGAGAGCTTGTCTAGAGAACAGGGGAGACTCCCACAGTGGCTGGGGCCTTCCCTGCCTGGGAGGGAGGTGTCACCAGGGCTGGGGCTGCAGCAGAGAGGACAAAAATACAAGGTCACAGACAGAGCCCTGGTGGCCGACAGGACGGAGAGCTGGAAGTGTGAAGTCAGCTCCCCAGGCAGATTTCAAAGCACAGAGCAGGTTGGTCCAAGTTGAGCAGGAAAGGATCCAGAGGCAAGAAAGGTTCTGAAGGAGCCACTACTAAAACCTTCCCTGAGCAGCTGCCCTGAGAGGGCCAAAGCACACGCTTTGCTCCCTGTGCAACTGTCCAAGCAAACAGTGCAGCCTGTTGGCTTTGGAGAAGCAGCTTCAGCTGGGGCAGCAGATCCGTTATGGGCTACAGCCGGACAAGGCCTGGGAGGAAGACTTGTCCATGTCAGGAGGGCAGGGGAGTGCTGAGCTCCACTGCTGCCCCAGCACGCCCAGGCTGGGATGGAGGGATTTTCAGGTGTCAAGGGAACAGGAATGGAGGGCAAAATGTGAGAGGAAATGACAGCTGCCACAGCCCAGGGCACGAGTCCCCAGCCCCGCCTCTCCTGCCACTTACCTCGGGTTCCAAGAGGGTGCTGCGCTTCTCCTTGCTCCCTGCCTTGGCCCCCTTTCCCCTGCTCAGCTTCTGCTCGGGGACGCTTACCTCTGTGGCCAGAAAGGAGCCAGAATGCATAATGCAGCCCTTGGGAACCACCCAGGTTCCCGGGGAGAACGGGCGAGGTGAGGCTATCAGACTTTGGGTGTGGATTAACACTGCAAGGGCCCCCAGCTAGGTAGGCGGGCTCCTCGTCTGAGGACAGGGCCTTGGGGACCCAGCTCTGGGGTCCGAGCTGCAGAAGGGAGGGGAGCCACCATGTCTGGCTCTCCGCATCCTCACTGTGGGGAAGAGGTAAGGCCCAAAGAGGCATGAGCAAGACCACTCCCAGCAGATGTCCAGGCCAGAGCCTCCTGCGTGCGGCCCACTGCTTTTCCCTCCTCCACGCAGGGGTATCTGCACTTACTCCCCTTGCCTGGCTTTGTGGTGTCTTCTTTCTTAGGGGTTCCTTGTGTGGGCGACTTCTCCTTGACCACTTCCTGTGGAGGGTGGGATGAAAGCCCCACCTCCAGGGCATGGGCAGCCAGTGTGGGCAGCCCAGGCGAGGCGGACCTCGAGGCCCTGTGGCCTCCTTCCTTCCCCTCCCTCCAGACGTCTTGGAGGGGCCCCTGGTCCACCCAGCCGTCCCATGCACACCTACCCCTGGCTTCTCCTTCTTCTTGATCAGGCCCTTAAGGGTTTTCATCGACTGCATCTTCTCCACCAGAGCCACACTGCTGACCGCCCCCATGTGAGGCTGCCCCCGCTCCGTTTTGGCATCCGCTTGTCGAGAAGAGGTCGGCTGCGCTCACAAACGGGAGTGAAGGGGCAGCCTGAGCCCCTCTTCAAAGGCGGATGCTGAGGCGGAGCTGTTGGGCAGCAGGGGTTGACAGCACCTGCTAGCTTCTCCCCCGGAGGCCAGGACAGTGTGACAGGGGCAGCAGGGAGTAGCTGACTGGGAATAGCTGTCGCCAGTGCGGTCCATGAACTAACTCATTTAATCCTCTAAACCCTGTGAAGCATGTACAGTTATCCCCATTTACCAAAGAAGGAAACCGAGGCAGGGGCTAAGTCCGGGCCACAAGCTGGTGTGCGGCTCAGCAGACCTCAGGTCCGGGCCTGAGTCTGGTACTTGGTGCCTCATCCGCCTGCAGGGTGGCGCTGCTGGAGCCCACCGCCCGCAGAGCACCCCAGCTCACCGATCGCGACAACTCCTGCTCCGCCTTCTCCAGCAGGAGGCGCCGGCGCTCCACCACCTCGGGGTGCGTCAGCTCGAAGGGGCGCAGGACCTGGGGCGAGGGCAGGCCTCTGTTAGCCATCGGGCCCGGGGGAGCCAGGGGGCTCCCCGCACCCGGGCCGGCCACCCACCTCGGCCAGCCTCAGGGCACCCTTGTCCCGGACGCAGTTGTGCGCCAGGTTCAGCCAGAGCAGAGAGCGGTTCAGCCGGAGGCCCTGCGGGCAGCGGGCGAGGTGAGCGGGGCAGGCCGGGAGAACAGGGCCCCCCCACCCCACCCCACCCCACCCCGCCACCGGGCGGCCACCGCGCGCACGCACGTCCGCCAGGTGGCCCGCGCCCTCGTCCCCGATGTAGTTGAAAGCCAGGTTCAGGGTCACCAGGGTCCGGTTGCTGCCATGCAGCGTGGACAGGGCCTGGCCCAGGAGCTGGGCGCCGTGGTCGTCGATGTTGTTGTTCCGCAGAGACAGGTGAGCGAGCCTGGCCGCGGAGGAGAGGAAACTGGGCGCTGCTGGGCACCCTCAGCCCGGGCCTAGGGACACGGGTGGGCAGGGCCCAGGGAGATGGAGAGGAAGGGCGCTGGGCTAAGTCAGGTGGAGGACAGGCCCCAAGGGGTGAGGGCTGCGGCCTCACGTGCTGTCCATGGCCATGAGCTTGTGATACGACTGTTTGGGCAGTGGGTTTCCCTCCAGAGACACCTTCCTGCAGATGGGAACGGTTTGAGAGCCTGGAGTTCAAGACCAGCTGGGCTACAGAGTGAGACCCTGTCTCAAACACAACCAACCAACAAGCGGGTGTCTGGGAGAGGCCTCTAGCCAGCTACACAGTGGAGCTCTCCACTCTCACCCCAGCCCGGGACACAGCTGGGCTGCAACCTCCAGGCAGGCAGACAGCGCCCCGCCAAGCCCAGCCCTGCGATCTCAGAGAACCTCCGAGGGAACATGTGGCTGCTGTGGGAGCCACTAAATTTGGGAGCCACTTCATTACCCAGCGACTGATAAATTAGTGCTAGCCCCTCTACAGACTGAGGACTTCTTCAGTAGCACTGGGAAAACAGCTCTTTTTGTAAGTCACAACAAAAACTGAACCACCAGCTAGAATTTTCTTGAAGACAGGGTCTTGCTATGTAGCCCCAAGTTGGCCCTGAACTCAGTGATCTTCCTGCCTCAGCCTCCTGAGTGCTGGGATCACAAATGTGCGCTACCACGCCCAGCTGAAATTTCTCTATTTAAATGTTTTCTCCCATGATTTGTCATGTTTTGCACAACCATTCAGGCTGCCTTGTCTTTCACAGAAACTTACTGCATTTTAAGTTATAATAATGAGTTCACATCGTTCTTTCTCTGCTAGCTAAACTGTTTCTAGTTCCGGTGGTGGAATGAAATGTGTGCTTTACCGGGTTCTACCCAGTGTACTGGGGACCCAGCTAGAGAAGCCAATCCTTGCCCCCAAGGAGCATGAGGCCTGGCCTGGAGAGGGAGCCAGAGCCCCAGCGCACAGCAGCACCTAGGGACGTTCTGTGAAGCGAGAGAAGTCACGATGTCCAGGCCGGGCAGCCGAGTCAGTGCCATTCCTCCCACACCGACCACACCTGTAGCCAGCCCACCTCTCACCAGGCTCCTCCTGCACAGGAATGCGCGTTCAGTGCCCAGGTTGGCCTGCATCCAGTCCTCCAAGGAAAAGCCCAGCACCTCCTCCAGGCAGCCTTTGGGCTTCCTGACCCCTCCCGTAAGGCGGTGGCACCTTCACCACCACCACCCCACTGCCCTGCAAGGCCCACTCCTTCTCTCTGCCTCCCTGGCTGTGAGTTTCTGTGAGAGCAGAACGTCTTGCGGCCTCAGGACCAGACCAAGGAGCAAGGGCGTCGGCCTGCAGTGAGGGTGGGGTAGTGGGGCTGATGGAGGAGCGGCTAAGGCCTGGCTGGGCTCTTTGGATGCTGCTGAGGGCTGATGGGACTGGTTCTTGTCAGGGGAGAGCCTCATGACCCAGCAGACACAAACTGAACCCTATGCCTGCCAGGATGCCTGCCCCGGGACTGGGATCGCCACTCCACGGCAACTGTTCCCCCCAAGGTCCACCCCGCCCGGCTGCTGTCCCTCTGCTGACCTGAGCGTGGGAGAGCAGGAAGGCAGGAGGGTGATGAAGGTGGTCAGGGTTTCATCTGTCAGCCCCACTTTCCACAGGCTGCAGTCGGCAGAAAGGACAGAAAGAGCAAGAGGGCACCTGCTACAGGGCCACCTGCCAGTCCAGCCCTTCCTACAGTCCTGGTGTGTGCGTGTGCGTGTGTGTGTGTGTGTGTGCACGCGTGTGTGTGCGCATGTGAGCACCTGTGTGTTACTGGAGATTGAACCCAGGGCCTTTGCACCCAGACCTTTTTAAATTTTGTATTTTGAAAAAATAAATACATTTTATATTTTGAGACAAAGTCTTGTCAAGTTGACCAGCCTGGCCTGGAACTTTCCATCCTCCTGCCTCAGCCTCCCGTGTTAGGATTCGGGATCTTCTGTGCCCTTTTTTGTCTCTATCCCGAGCCACCCGGAGCACAGCCCACACATTGGCCTCCTCCCTCACCCAGTGTCCTCACTTGATGGCCTGCAGCTGGCTGAGGGAGGGCAGGCAAATGGAGAAGATCCCCAGGATCCGATTCTCCAACTTCCAGCCTGCCGAGAGGAGGGACCTCAAGCCTGGGGGCGGGGCCTCTGACCTGGGCGGGACCTCTGGTCTGGGGGCAGGGCCTCTGGGCGGGGACTGGTCTGGAGGCGGGGACTCTGTTCTATGGGTGGGGCTCCAGTCTGTGGGCGGGACCTCTGGCTGGTGGGCGGGGCCTAGGTCAGGGCCTCGGGCGGGGCGGTCTCACCGCGGATGTAGACCTCCTTCACCGCCTTTCCGTCCTCCTGCTCCAGCTCCACCTGGATGGTGGGCCGGAAGAATACGTACTTGCTCTCCAGGCTGTTGAGGCTGCAGGACGCCGACAGCCGCTGCTCGTCTGGGACCGGGTGAAGCGGTGGGAGGTTGTCACGCCGCCCCCAGCCCTGCTCCGCCCGCTGGCGGCCCCCTGTCCCGCCAGGGCCTCTCACCGGGCGTGGGCTTTTCGGACGTGGAGGCCGAGGAGTCGGAGATCCGGTGCGGGCGCGGCCGGGTGACGACCTTGGGAAAGTCGATGTAGCCCGAGCGCGCGCAGAGCTCGGCGAAGTCGGCCTCCAGCACCCCGGTGCACTGGTACTCCTCTGCGGCAGAGGGCGCTGTCAGGCACTGTTCACCAGCAGCACCGCAGCCGCGGAAATATTCCAGTCTCAGAACGATTGAACGCCCGGAAATTTCACCACACTGGTCATTCGTGTTCTGTGCACGGGCGTGACTGGAAGGCTTCACGGTCTCACTGCTCAGGGGTCACTTCCGAGCGTGAGTCTGCCAGTCAGCTACAGAGAAAGGCTGGCGAGCTGCAAATGTCGCCTGAACCGAACAGTGTTCGCAGCATGGGATCGATCCCCTCAGCCACGTTCAAGGGCCTGCCTTTAACACACCTGTTCCGGAAGCTGTACCGGAGAGGGGCGGGGCACGGGGGCTTCTACACAGGTTAGAGCGCTCTATAGATCACCAGCCAGAGCTTTTGAGCTAGGAAAGTCGCTCTGTGGATTTCTTCCAGAAAAAGTCACACTGACAGCACATGTAGTGACACAAAATGGTTCTCAAAACTTGCTTACTTGTGTGACATTCAACCTGCTCGACAAACAGTCTACCACTTCAGGAGAAAACTACAGCTGTAGTCAAGCCAGCAGATAAAGTGACCATTTAAAGCCAAACTGAAATTATGAGGATGAGAGTTAACTTTGTTTGAGGCAGGGTCTCACTAGGCAGTTCAGGCTGGCCTTGAACTCACTGTGTAGCTTGGCTGTCCTCAGACTCACAGTGACCCTCCTGCCTCAGCTTCCCAAGTTCTGGGATCACAGGTGTGTGCTACCATGCCCGGCTTAAACATTGGGATTTTTGACAGGCTTCAAACATTAGCAGAAATTTTGAAAGAGACTGAGCCAGGGCCTTCTCTCTTGCAGCTGGTGCATGATCACCTATCTCAGCTTTCAAAAGTTGGAGCATTACTTCCCAACCACAAAAGACCCCCAATCTGGGAAGGAATGGATCTAGGACAAGTTTGTTAATTGGGGAATCCACTTTGTCCATGCTAGAACAAGATCAATTTCAAATCTCCATACATTCTGGATTAAAGTCTGAGATTTCCACAAAAGCACTGAAAAGCCTGCTTCCATTTCTAACATCTCATCTTTGTGAAACAGGGTTTTCTGCAATGACAGCAAAAAAAATGAGATTATGGAGTAAACTGGACACAAGCAACACACTTGGGGTATCACTGTCTCTCACCACCCCAGATGGGACTGTCTAGTTGCAGGAAAACAAGCTCAGGGCTCCCCCTGATTCTGCATTACGGTAAGTTGTATAATTATTTCACGTAATGCTATGCAGGAGGATCACTTTGAGGCCAGCCTGAGCTACATGATGAGTTCAAAGCCAGCCTGGACTACATAACAAGACCCTGTCTCAAATTTTTTAATGATTTCATGTAATAATGTAATAATAGAAATAAAGTGCACAATAAATGTCATGTGCTTGAATCATCCTGAAACCATCCACACCATCCCATCCATGAAAAAATAGTCTTCTATGAAATGGCCCCTTGGTGCCTATTCTGCTTGGGAGATTCTATCCTATCTGATCTTCCCTTCTGGAAGATATTCTTTCTCTAGCTCTCCTAACTCCCCAACCACGGTCGCTAGCACCTCCAGTCCAGAGACAACCTACTGGTCCCTCTCTGACGGCGGAGCTGTCAAGTCTGTATCAAGGAGCCGCCTCATGGACCCTCCCTCCTTTGCGCTTTTTTAGTTCAGGTTGAGGTTCTATCACTTGCAACAAAAAGCCACGCTCCTGTTCATACTACTCAGCCTTTGTTTTTTCCCCCTGGAGAAGGTAAATTCCACGAAAGCATGTGTCCGTCCTGTTCTCTGAATTATACCTGTCCTCGGAGCAGACATTCGAAACAATACTTGTTGAATGAATGAGCGAATATCTGTATCCCTGTTCAGACGCCTCCGGCAGACCCCGCCTCCCGATTTCCTGCGTCTTCCCCTCACTCTCTCAAATCTCATCACATCGCACTGTACTCGTCAGCGCCCCAAACACAGTCCAACGGCCAAGCCGGAGGCTCGGGGCTCAGCCTGGTGAGGAACAGGGCCCGCTTCCCCGACCCCGCCTCCCGCCCGGCGTACCGGGGTTTTGGGGCTCCTCCTCGCCCGTCGCCGGCTGGGCGGCCGCCGGCTTCTCCTTGGCCGCTCGCTCCCCTTTCTTGGTCGTCGCGCCGGAAGACTTCTGGGTCCCAGGACGCGGGGTCCTGACTGCTGTCCCCGGCTCGCTCGACATGCTGGGGCCTTTGCGACCCTCGTGGGAGCGGTTAGGCGGGGCGGGACTCTGGGAGGTTCACCCCGGTGAAGGCTGAATCCGGGTCTCCTGTCCGAGTGCGCCCGGGAACGGAGCGGCCTGCAGCGCGAGTCCTGCGCGTTCCTCCCCATGGCAACGGCGCGAGGTGGGCGGGGCTGGGGGGGCTTAGCCTATGGGCGGGGATTAACGGGAGGGGGGGTTGGCCAGACGGAGGGACGGGCTGAGCAAGGGAGGGGCGTGGCCCGGGTACCCCTGGGCGCCTGAACCGAGGGAGAAGAGCTAAGGTGGCCCAGAACCTGGGCTGGGCCTTTGTGGAGGGCGCAGAGTGGACCCTCCAGCCACAGCACAAAGGGCAAGGATGGGCGGGCGTTGGGCGATCCTAAGCCACAGGGGAACTGACCCGGCAGAGCATGTCGGAGAATCGGGGGACACAAGGGAGGGGTCAGGCAGGGGCAAGTCCACTCCCAGGGGTCCGCCCACCTGCCCTATAAAGAGAGCACAAGGAAAAGGTCAGTCCTGAGAATGTGGCGCTGGGCTCCTCTTCTCCACCCCATCTGTCTAATCTCCTGCAGGTCTGGGAGCTCAGGCTATTTGCCTGTGGACTGGTCTAAACCCCAGAAATTCTGCCCTGCCGGGCCCCTTCCGAGTGTACACTCTCCCAAGATCGTCCTGCCTCGGCCTCAGAACCCTGCTCTGTTCCATGCACCCTCTCCTGTTGAGAGCCCCGCTTTGGGGATCCTCTGATAGAGGCAGTCTTGGTGTCAGAGCACACAGTGTGCCACCTGGGGTAGCACTCGACACCGTGTCATTTGTACTTCAATTCACTCAGCCACGGAGCCTTTTGGGAAGCATTTATTGAGTGCCAAAGGTAAATAATACTGAGCATAAACACAGGAGTCCTGCCTTCAGGAAGCGTCCAGTCTAGTGGAGAGGCGGACAACAACGCTGTGACCACAAGAGGGAATAAGAAATCACAGTGGTGCTTGGCCCCCGCTGGCCTTGGGTAGGGATGTCAAGCGTGCAGGAGGGACACCCGGCCCATAGGTGACAGGAGGAGCACTGTGGCTTGCAAGCCCCTGGGAGGAGGAAGTGTGGCGGGCAGCAGGACCTGGGTGCCAGTGTGACCAGAACAGAGTACTACAGGACACAGAGAGACCAACAGGCCAGGCCTTGGGGCTTCGGAGGCCTTTGGGGCTTCTGACTCTGGCCCGGGGGCATCCAGGAGGACAGGAAGCCTTTTTGGCAAGCCATCCCCCCCCCCCGCCCCGGGTGTCTGAGCAGTGCATAGAGTAGCACTGAATGCAGGAGGCCAGGGAGGGCCCATTGCTAGAGCTAATTGGGTCAGCTGCTCCCTGGCTAAATGGTGAGTGCCTGAGGCCAGGACCTGCCCTCGCGTGCACACGTGGGCGCGCACACACACACACACACACACACACAGCGCCCTGCAGGGCGTGCACAGAAAAGATACCCATTACGTATTTTAAAGGTCAATCTGAAATCAGAGTCATCCAGCAGCATTCACCCACCAGTCTATGTACACAGGGCCCTGGGGCCCTTGGGGAACAGCAGGTCCGAGAAAGGGAAGCAGGCATCCTGCCAAGCACTGTCTCCCTGACGCTGATGGAGCGAGGCTCCTAGCTAGCTCTCCATCACTGCCTTCGGTAAACGTGTTCATGTCGCGGCCTGCCATCCTCTCCCCATGCCTGGCAGTGTACACAAAGCTCTGTCCCCGGCTTGGGCAGCAAGGGCCTGCGTGCTGGCCTCTGCCACACCATCTCGGCTCCTCAGCGGTCCTGGTGCCGAAGTGGGGGTGACGGGGGATGCCGTACTGGAGGTAAGTCATAGTGTCCGGGGATGTGGCTGTTCTTGGGTGAGTCATAGTGGCCAGGGGGCAGACCTGGAGGAAGAGGGGGCTGGGAGGCCACGGAGTCTCGATCTGGAGACAGAAGGGACTGAGTGAGAGAGGGGAGGCTCCTCAACCTCCCACCCATCACCTCCGCCTCCACCCCCTTCTGCCCAACCGGAAGTGGGCAATGGATAGGGTACAGTTAGCCCCGAGCCAAAGCCTCTCCAGCCCTCAGCTGCCCATGAGAGGCCACCTCAGCCTGTCCCCTCGCGGGATAGGAGGATGCTTTGTCACCTGACTGCTCCCCACCTGTCAGGCGCTGCCCCACCACCACTTCCACTCCTCAGCCTTCGAGTGCAGAGCACCCTACAGACGACAAAGCAGGCTCTGCAGGGCAACGTGATGTCCCCAGCATCCTCTGGCTGGAGCCCAAGGCTGACCACACCATGCCACCTCCTGTTCTCTCCTCTGCCCCTCTCCGTTCCTCTTGCTCCGGTCCCTGCACCCCGGGGGCACTCACCATGGGTCAGGGGGCTGGGCTGCTCGTAGGTGCCACTGTCCCGCTGTGGCTGTGGCTGCCACCGCTGCTGGCTGTCCCTGCGCTGGCACTGCCTTGGGGGAGAAGCTGAGGGAGGGCCTTTCATCTCCACGTAGCTGCTCTCCCGGGGGCCGCCTGGCAGGCTGGGCAGGTCTCGGATGGTGGCGTATGGGTTCTCACTGCTCAGGGAAGCCAAGCTGGCCCCCAGCCCCTCTTCAGAGACGTTCCCTATGGTTTGGGAAAGAATTCAGCTTCCGTGGAGATGCTGGCTCCTCTCCCAGGTTCACCCCTCTCTCACTGCCCTGTGTCTGTACCTTTATTGGAGATCGGGCCTGGACCGTTTCCATGCCTGTAGCTATAGCTGTAGCTTCGGTCCAGTTGGCTGCCACCTGAGGAGGGGGAGGCAACTTGCAGTCAGGCCCCAGTCCCCTCCCCAGGTTCTGGCCTTTGCTACAACTGGGCCACAGCGCCTTTCTGGGCACACACTCGGCAGGAGCGGCAGGTAGCCGCACGGAGCAGATGCGCCTGCTCGGAGCTATGGCCTCCTGGCCCCTCCCCTGTCCAGAGACCTGGAGGCCTCTCCTGGCGGTGCTTCCAGTCAGCAGGCAAGGTGGCAAGGTTGTCGTGCCTGTGGGCTCCACCTGGCCTCTCGGGCGCCTGGAGGCTGGCAAAGAGTGGACTGCCTGGAACCTGAGGGGCAGTGCCATAGGGAGCAAAGAGTCGAGGACCGGCTTCCCCAAGAGCCAGGTGCGCACCCCCCTTGCAGCGCAGGCCCCCAGCACTGACCTTGTTAGGGGGCGGGGGGCTGGGGGAGCACTGTGACAGGGTGTGGTAGCTGGGGTTGGAGTAGTAGTGACTGTAGCTCGGAGGGACATCTGCAGGACAGACAGGCACAGCGGGCCTCAGAGATGGCCCCTGCTGCCCCAGGAGAACAGTAACTCAGCCCCCTGACCTCCCTCCCTTGCTCCTCCCTCCCTCCCATCTTCCCATGACATTGTGCCCCAAACCCCACCTGCCCATGCTTCCTTTGTGCCGAACGCCCCTGCGCCAGCTCACCTGGCATGACATACTCTGAGCCATCCAGCCGCCCACTGCTGTAAGCCACGGCTAAGTGCTGGTGCTCCTTGCCCTTTTGCCAATGGCGGTAGCCAATGAAGAGGGCTATCAGGGCCACAACCAGGGACCCCAGCACTGCGATGCCAATCACCGCGCCCAGTGAGTTATAAGCCACTGGCGAGGTAGGTGTCATGGTGAAGGGTTCCTGGCTTCCTGTGTGAGGTGGGGGAGGCACTCAGGATGGCATCGGAGCCCTGCTGGTGAGCTCGGGCATGTGCCTGGGAGAAGTGCCCGGTAGGCAGCAGGGGCAGTGCCCTGGGGACAACTCACCAATCATGCAGGGGGCACCACTGTACCCTGGGGGACACACACAGCCCCCGCTCTCCGGGTGGCACTTCTCTCCAGGACCACACTGGCATGGCTGGGAGCAGTTGGCACCAAACATCCCCGGAGGGCAGCCTGAGGAGAGCTCCGGAGATGAGACAGGGTCACGGGGGCCAGGAAGCCACAGTCTCCTCCCCGGCAAGGGCTGAGTTGAGGCGCAAGCATGGAGTCCCTGCTGTGGGTACCTTCCAAGCAATGCTGTCCAGTCCAACCTGGGGTACAGATGCAGCTCCCGTCCTGGGGGTGGCAGGTCCCGCCATGGTGACACTGGCAGGGCTGGGCACAGTTAGCCCCCCACTGGCCTGAGGGGCATGCTATAGGAGACAAGGGGCCTGTTGTGGGTGGGTCCTCCCCTCCTGGACCAACTCTGGTCTCTAAAGTTTTTGGTTGTTTTCTTTTGAGACAGGGTCTCACTATGTAGCCCAAGCTGGCCTCGAACTCGTGGACATCCTCCTGCCTCAGCCTCCCAAGTGCTGGGATTACCGGTGTGCACCACTCCACCTGGCTCTGTTTTGTTTTTTTAACCTAAGGAAGAAGTAACGTCCATCCTATTTAATGCATTATTTTTGTGTGCTGGACACCAGCAAGTAACCTAAGAGTTGCTACTGAACTCTGTAGACAAATTCTTCACCAGGATAAGTTCCTTCTTTACTCTGCCTGCTGGAAAGCTTAATTCCAGCCTTTTGCATGGCAACAGCCTCTGTGACCCCTTTTCAAAACTTGCTTTAATTTCTGTTTTGTCTTTTCCATGGTCATCTTCATATATTTATGTGGGAAAGAGGCCACATATAAATACATACATACATACATAGAAAAATGGGAAATATACAAAGAACACGTCCAAAATTGACTTTAGGATTTCCCCTGCTTCCATAAAACAATGCTCTTCTCAGACTCCCCATCTCACAGGGCAGGGAGTGTCTTTCTTGACATTCATTGCTGCACCTCAGCACCTAGAACCAGTATCCAGCATGTAGGTGCTGCCCCATGGATATCTGTTCATATCATTTACATAAAAAATTGAATCAAGGTGAGACCACAGGCTTTTATGCCCAGGGGCAGGGAACTCCACTCCTCACCCTCCCTCAGCACACACGCACGCACACGAGGATATACGAGCCGTCACATACGTTGGGAGCAGTCAGGGCCTGTCCAGCCAGCCAGGCAGTAGCAGGTCCCATCCACAGGGTGGCAGGAAGAGTGGTTATTGCACTTGCAGGGCATGCAGCGTTTGCCATAGCGGCCAGGCTGGCAAGCTGGGGAAAGGGGGCACGGTGACTGTGGCAGGGGCAGCCCTAGCCAGCCCTCGGTGCCACTGCCTCCCTCCACCCTTCCCACTCTGCTGTCTTGAAGTCTGGAGTCAGGCCAAGAGCCCAGGAGGGGCAGAGCTGGGCTCTGGCTTCTGATCATTCACAGTACCCTGCTGCTGCTGGGATGGGGTGGGAGCAGGGAGCCTCACGTCTCTGGCAGGAGGGACCCCGGAAGCCAGGTGCACACACACAGTTGCCATTCTCGGGGAAGCAGGTGCCCCCATTCTTGCAGGTGCAGGCGTTGCTGCAGTTGACTCCCCAGAAGCCCTCAGGGCAGGGCAGGTGGCAGTGGGCGCCTGGGGCAGAAAATACAGGGTGAACCTGGCCAGGAGTCCTCTGTTCCACCGGGGCATTTCCTGTGGGCTGCATCCCCCAACTCTACAGAAGGCCCAAGACCTGAACATCTAGAATACTTACCTGTCCAGCCGGCCTGGCACTGGCAGTGTCCATGAACAGGGTCACAGCCATGAGCGTGGTCACAGTCACAGCGAGCAGCACAACCTTTACCAAACTGCCCCTTCTTGGGGAGGAGGCGGAGGGTGGGGGAGGCCAGTCAGCTGCGGTGCCGTGCCCTCCCTCCCCCCAGGCACACAGGCTGTGGGCTCTCACCGGGCAGGGTAGCTGGCAGTGGGCCCCATGCCACCCAGGGGTGCAGGTACAGGCTCCAGTTTGGGGGCTGCAGACTCCTTCGTTGGCACACTGGCAACTGGCATTGCAACCGAAGCCCCAGGTTCCGGGTGGGCAGGGCACAGAGCAGTTACCACGCTGCCAACCTGGAAGGGGCTCTGTAGGTGAGCAGCTGCCCTTCTGAGCAACCGCACCCTGAGCTCTGGCTGGGACAGGCTCTTCGCTATGAGCCAGGAGCAGGAGTGGAGTGCTCATGGCACCATGCAAGACACAAGCGTATGAACTATTAGATGTCTGAAGGAGGTTGGTGACAAGCCCAGATGCTGCAGAAGGTATGTAGCATGCACAAAGACCAGAGTCCAATGCCAGCACCACACAAACAAAACCACATCAGCTCTTGTGTAAGACAATCGAGAGATAAGATGTTTGTTAGACTGGGTAGAGAGCTAGCCAAACAAAACGCAGATGCATCAGAGTTCAGCCCAGAGGTCGGCAACATGCCACGCCCAGCAGATTTCAGGGCCCTATCTGGCACTGCCACTGTTTGGGGTTTTCTGGACGTGTGGGGGGTTTTGTTTTGTTCTGTTTGTGTTCTTTTTTCTGGGAGCTGAACTCCAGGCTTTGACAGTAAGCCATTCTCACTGAGCCACATCTTCAGCCCTTTTTATTTATTTATTTTTTCGGCCCTTTTCAAATGCTTCATTTTGAGACATGGAATCCCTAAATTGCCCAGGCTGGCCTCTAATTTACAATGTTCCCGCCTCAGCCTCTTTTTTTTTTTTTTTTTTTGGTACCGGGGATCGAACTCGGGACCTTGCGCTTGCGAGGCAGGCAGTGGAACCACTGAGCTACATCCTCCGCCCGTGCCTCAGCCTCTTAAACAGCTGGGCTTACAGGTGTGCACACATGGCTCACTGTGTGTATTTGTATAACTGAGGGTGAGAAATGTTTACCAGTAAGGCACATTGTGGCCTGCGCCTTTAAGGACCAGTATGAGTTTTACGATTTTAGAAAAGCAAAGTAAATATTCCAGGAAGGAAATAGCCTGGATACTTTCCCACAGTCCAGCTGCTGCCTGGTCAGCTCCGCCCTCATCCTGCAGCTGCTGCCCTCCCGCCGCCCCGCCCTCCCGCCGCCCCGCCCCAGACCCAAGTCGCTCACCCTCCTTGCAGACGCAAGAGCCGTCGACGGGCGAGCAGGAGAGGGCGTTTTCGCACGAGCAGCGCCCGGAGCAATTGAGCCCGTATGTGTCGGGGGGACACGGGCTGGCGCAGTGGGGCCCCTGAAAGCAGCGGGCGCTGGTGAGCGGCCCCGCCCGCCGCCGGCCCCGCCCTCCCCGCGGGACTTGGCTCACCGTGTAGCCGGGCCCGCACCGGCAGAGGCCGCTGTCTGCCAGGCACTCGCCGCCGTGCAGGCACAGGCAATGTTCCTGGCAGCCCGGGCCGTGCGTGTCCTGCGGGCAGCTCTCGTTGCAGTGCAGGCCCGCCCAGCCCGGCCGGCACGCGCACTCGCCGTGCATCGGGTGGCAGCTGCGGGGAGCGGGCGCACCTGAGCTCGGGCCGGGGCCAGAGCGGGGAGGGGGTCCACGCCATGGCCCGGCCCGAGGCCCACCTGAGGCTGTGCTCCGGATCGCAGGCGCAGTCCGCCTGGCAGCTGAGGCCGTAGAGGCCGTCGGGACAGAGGCGCTCGGCGCAGCGGTGCCCAGTGAAGCCGTGTTCGCACAAACACGCGCCGTTGGCGGGGAAGCAGCGCGCACCCGGGGCACAGTCACACGTCCCGTTACAGTCCTGCCCGAAGCTGCCCACCGGGCACTCCTCGCGGCACCTGGCATGGTGTGGGGTGAGGCTGGCCGTGCACACCTCCGGCCAGCCAACCCCTAGGCATCCCACGCCCGGCCACTCACCGATCGCCTGTGTAGCCGGGGGCACAGCGGCACTGCCCAGAGAGTCGGTCACAGAGGCCACCGTTGTGGCAGCGACATTCCTGGGAGCAGTTGGGTCCATGGAGGCCCTCTGGGCAGGGCAGGGAGCAAATAGTGCCCTGTGGGGGTGAGAAATCAAAATTCGGGGCACCCAGCCCCTTCGCCAGGGCCACAGGGCTCCTCTATCCCCAGAGTCCCCTGAACCTAGCCCCTTTCACACACCTGCCACACCCAGAACCCTTCCCAGACCCCCCACACCCACAAGCCCACCCTACATACCATCCAGCCAGGAGGACAGCTGCAGGAGCCCTGGCTGGCCTGGAAGACACCCCCATTTTGGCAAGGGTAGGTGGTAGGGCACAGGATGCCAGCAGTGCCCTGGGGACAGGACACATCACAGCTGCAGGAGACAGCAGGTGAGGTCAGGGCGTTGCAAGTGTTATAGTACCCACTTCCTCCCCAAAGGCTGGCCACTCGCACACACGACAGCCCCACGTGAAGGGCCTGCCTGGGCTCTTCCCTGCTGGGACTGCAGATGCCAAGGACCAGGGGTGCCCCTGCACCAGCAGGCAGGGTCCCCTCGAAGGGACACCTGTGCAGCTTTTCTGTCTTGCAGGGATCAGCCCCGGCAGCTGGACCCTCGATCTCCTCTGCACCTGCTCCCCCCGGGACTGCCCAGCCTCGCCCTGGAACACTGCCCATCAGACTCTCACACCCAGGCCGTCTCAGGCTGTGGCAGCCCAGGTAGACAGCAGGCCCTGTGCAGTCAGGACAGCTCCGTGATCTGCCCAAGGCCGCTGGGCCAGGGAGCAGCGGGGTTGGGACGAGGAGCCTGGTCTCCACTCCGTCCCCAGGCTTGGGACCCCTGCGCGAGCACCCCACCCCCAAGCGTATCTGTGTGGCCTTTGTCTGCCACTTCATCACATACGCACCTGGGCCCCGTCCTCCCTGGGGGACAGAAGCAAGCTCCAGTCTGGGGGTCACAGGGTGCCCCGTGGCACTGGCATTGGAATTGGCAGGCGGGGCCATAGTGGCCAGGGGTACAGGGCTGAAGGCAGTTGGGAGGCTGCAGGCCAGAGGGGCAGGAACACGCCCCGCTCACAGGATCACATGAGCTGCTGTTGCCGCAGTGGCAAGGCTGGTCACACTGCAGGCCCCACATTTCGGGGGCACAGGCTGTAGGATAAGGAGGTGGAGGGGGTCACCAGAGGGCTAACCACCCCCCAGCCTCCAGCTAGTCCCAATCTCTGAGCCACATCTCTGGAAAAGGCAGCCACTGCAATGGGGCTCTGGGTATTTGCCCTGGAGTCCTAAGCACCTGTGCCCCGGCAGGGAGAACATCTCTGGGCCACCGGCCACTCACCGCTGGAGCAGTCATTGCCCCGCCATCCTGCCACACACCGGCACTGATTGGGCGCCACGCAGCGGCCATGGACACACTCCTGGGCACAGACGGCTGGGGCAGAGACGGGTGAATGAGAAAAGGCTGCCACCCTTTCTCTCCGCATCCCAGCCTCCTCCCAACCAGGGACCGAAGTTCTCTGGCCCCACTTCTGTCCGGGATGGAGGATGGCTGAGAGCAGCAGCTCGGGTCAGGACGCTGGGCTCTGGGCCCCTGGTGTGAAATATTCTAAGCATGCTGTTAGGAAAGTGGGGGGCTCAGGGGGGTCCGACGCAGAAACTGTCAGAGAGGGTGTAGTGAGGACAGTCGGGTCAGGCTGGGAAGGAGTCTGCACGGGTGGGGTGGGCAGAGGAGGCCGGGCAGGCGCCAGTCGGGGCCACAGTGTGAGGGGAGGCAGTGGACAAGGAGGCGAGAGCGACAGGGCAAGAGCCGCAGAGCCGGGGACGGGAAGAGGTGGACGGGGACCCGACACTGAGCCCTGAGCCAGAGACCGCCGGCAGACAGCTCCAGAGCTGGGAGACAGCGGTGCGGTGGCTTAGCCGCAGACCACGTGGAGGGACAGCCGAGGAGGCGCTGCTCAGGCCCCTGGGGACCCCACTCCTGGCTGTGTGGACAGCTGGAGGCCCAGTCTGTCTCTTGCCAGTGCGGCTGGAAGATGAGCAGCCTCGGGGGCCAGGCAGCCCAGCCTCCACTTCCAGCTGCTTCTGCCCGGCCCCGCCGCTCCTGCCCAGGCTGCTGGCCAAGGCAGGCACCTGAGGGGGCAGAGGAGTAGCCCCACCCTGGTGGGGGCAGGGAAGGCTGCAGGAGGGTGGGCTGAGCCCCTCCCGCTCCACGCCAGCCTGGCCCAAGGCGGGACTCACGGATGCATGTCCCGCTACTCTCGTAGAAGCCCTGGCAGCAGCGCAGGCGCGAGCGATAGTCTGTCTTCACCACTTGGCGGTACACGGTCCGGTAGAAGACCCTGGGGGACCAGGAGGAGGCCCTTGATGCTCCTGGCTGAGAGGCCTGGCTGCCAACTCTCAGCACAGCGGGGCACTGGGGGAAGTGGGGGCGGTGCCCAGAACTCTGGACTGGGGAGCCTAGAGAGTATTTCCTCCCGTCCCCTGCCTGCGCACACATGCGCACACACGTGCACACACACACACACACACACATTCACACGTGCACCAGCCAGTGCTATCCACACACATGCACGAATTCATGCATGCATCCCACCCACACATGCACTCATGAACTCACACGCATCCCAGCCACGTGCTCTCTGAACACACCGTGCGCCCTTGGAGTGAGGGGATCAGAGTGCCCTGGCGCTAGGTTTCCTCTGAGAGCCACAGGTTCTGAGAAAAGCCTGGGGCTGGAGGCCAGTGCCAGGCTGAGGCAGTGACACGGAGATAGCAACAGTGCAGGAGCTCGGGAGGGGCCCGGGCACTCACGTGGGCCGGGGGCAGCTATGGAGGCCGGCCAAGGGCTTGTCGCAGGGCTCCGATGGGGGCAGACTGAAGGGCCGGGAGTGTGACTCCTTGGTGGTCGTGGTAAAGCTGCAGGAAGGGAAGAGGGTCAGGGCAAGGGGCAGGGAGGGAGGCAGAGGCCAGAGCTTGGCCCTCGTGGGCCCCACTTTGCAATCTGACAGGCTCCTCCCAGAACTGGATGTTCCTGGACACCTCCCACCCCAGCTCCCTGTGCAGCCCGCTCCTCTGTCCATAGGAAGACGGCCGGGCTGACTTCTGGGGTCAGCTGGTGGTGGCGATGGGCTGAAGCACTTCTGGCTAAATTTTGCCCTGGGTCTCACTGCTCAGCCCTGTCCCCCTCGTCCCCAGGGCCAGCCCCGCTGTTCCACAGTGAATGGTTCCACCCTGCCCCAGGAACCAGAGCAGCAGACAGGGAAAGGGCAGGGACTGAGACAAGGCGAGGTGGAGAGACAGCCCAGGGAAGGAGAGAGAGATCAGAGGGCGGGGAGAGGCTGGAGAGCTGGCACAGGGCACAGGCGAGGGAAGGGGAGCCCCAAAGGGAGATGGGGGTGCTTGGGCATGTTCCCTCAGGCTCGCACGGTAGGGGCCCTCTCACCTCTCCCAGAAGCTGCAGGCGTTGGGATCGTTAGAGTTGAGAGTTCTGGTCAGCCCCAGGTCTAGGGCCAGGAGAAGGAGGGGACCCAGAGGTGGCAACATTGCAGGAGCCTGCTACAGGGCCAGGTGCCCAGGAGTGCAGCGTCCGCAGAGATCTGGGCAGTGGGTGTGCAGAAGAGGGGGCTCCCACAGCTCTGGATCCCACCTCACTCCGAGCAGGGGAAGGGCTCTGCCTCTGGGTTGCTCACGGTGGCTCAGACCCGCCCCCAGTCCTCCTTCTTTCCAGAGCACACATCTGCATCCATCGGGGCCTGGCGCAAGGGCCCCAGTCTTCGCCCGCTGTGCTCCACACCCCACTGCCCACTTGTGTCTCCTGGAGCCCAGCACCACTCAGCAGCACACCACTGCTCTGGGGCCTGTCCCCGCCTCAGTCTCCAGGAGCAAGGACCCAGGGCCCCTTTATCTCTGAGTGCCCAGCCCCAGCCCGTGTGCACCTAGAGCAGCCGAATGCCTGCATCAGGGCACCATGAAACTGCAGCTAATGAGGGGGTTCTGAGGGGCAGCCTCTGGCTCAGGACCTTCAGGGCAGCACCGATAGAACCCGCTTCCTCAGGCGAGAGCTCCCTGTCACTGATGTGCAGGCAGAAGCCAGGGCCACTCTGAAGACTGCTGCCCGGGCTCCCACTCAGGGTGGGAGTGGGGCTGGGCCCGGGTGCCTCAGGGATGATGAGGCCGGAGCTGGCTCGTGTGGGGCTGAGGACGAGTGTGCCCATCTCTTCCCGACTGCGTGGAAGGAAGCAGGCAGGGGAAACGGCCACCTACCCTTCGCCGAGGCCAAGCCCAGCAGCGTGCTGTAACATTCTCAGCACGCTCTGCACCGGCCCTCGGCCATCACCCTCGGAGGTCTGCTCCCCTCCATCTGCCTGGCCTCACTTCGAGGGTGGGAGGAGGGTCAGGACCTCGAGGACTCCACCTCTGGGCTGGTCCGGAGCCGGTGTTCCTGAAGCCCACCCGGCTAAGCCTCCCTGAGGCGCCCACATCTGCTTGTAATTTTTCCAGAGAAGCTGAAAGGTCGCCGCTGCTGGCCCCTAACCCCGCTGAGCATCTCTGGAATGCCGGCGGCCCACCCCACACCCCACCCACACCCACACCCACACTCTCCCGGCCCCTGGCCCCTGCAGGTCTCCCTACCTTAACCCTGTCTCCGCTGCTACCCCCACCCCGCTGGCCCCTAATCCGCCAGTGCGAAACTTCACCCTCTCATCCTCAGAGCGCCTCTGCGCTCCACAGCCAAGCTCCAACAGCCCCCAGGGACAGGGAGGCAGAGCCGCTGCCCCCCACGGAGGCTCCTGCCTCACCCTACAGGCCGGCCCTGTGCCTCTCCCACCCTCCAAGTCCTGGGTAACTCACCCGGTGAGGCCCAAGGAACTCAGGCAATCCGGGGCCCCAGCGGGGGTGTGGGAGCCACAAGCGTCCTGGGGGATCCCAGTACTCAGGATTGGAACCTGAGAACAGGAAACAGAGCCTGGCTGGGATTGCCCCCCCCAGCCCCGGCATGATGGCAGGGGGTTTCCTTCCCCCACCACCCAGAACACCACAGGATGCGGGAGGGGCCAGGGCTAGAGGCCTTTTTGGTGGCCCACTGGGGCAGCTGGGGTGCCCTTCAGACGCCCTTCAGTCCCTCCCATCGCTAACCCACAGATCCTCCAGTGTCCCCTCCCACCCTGTCCTGTTCTAGTCCCCTTCCTGGCCCAATGCCCAAGCCCAGGCTCCTCACTGGCCCCAGGTGACCTCCCCCCTTTCCCCACGGTGTCCTGGGCAGCCAGGGCAGGACCCTGAGCTTGGTCCTGGGTCCCAACCAGCCTGGGCTTGGGGCCCCTGTCCCCTTCTGGATCCCTGGGTGAGCCTCATCTCCTAAGCCGCGCAGGGGCTCCAAGGCCTTCCCCTGCCCTGGAGTGGACAAAGCCTACAGCAGGAAGGACTTTCGGTCAGGTACATGTTGGTGGAGCTGCCAAGCCCACCGTCAGTCCCTCCCCATTCACAGGGGTGCCTGCCCCAAGGGGGTACGCCCACCCGACCTCCCGGTGCACTTGGGGTCTCTGTGGCGACCCTGCCGAGGGCGCAGTGGCATGGAGGAAGCAGCTCTGATGCCCCCTGCTGGCCACGGGAAGTGAACGGGCCGGGGGTGGCTTCGCTCCGTCTGGCTGGAGGTCCTCAGGGGCAGGGCTGCAGAGCGGAGGCGTCAGCTGCTCCGTCCACTGCTGGACGCCAAGGTGGGGCCAGGGGAGACCGTGGGTGGTCAGCAGAGAGGAGCGATGGGATGGGGGTCACACGGGGAGGGAAGCTTTGCCCTGAGGCCCCTGAGAGGGGAACACAGGCCAGACAGGAGCCCAGAACGCAGCCAGGCCTCCCTCGCCTGTTCCCATCTGAGCCTTGGTCGGGCCCTGGGTACCCGAGGCCCTGTCCAGCTCTCGGCTCCCATCCTGTCCCAGCAGCATGGGATCCACGTGTTACACAGAGCCCCCCAGCGGTTGCGTCAGTCAGTCCCGGCTCCCTGCCCTGCTCTGATCCTGGGGCCCACGCTGCTCTCCCTGAGGGAGCCCCCAGCCCTCCCCTGCAGCCTCGGCTCTCCCTCCTCTGCTCAGTCACCATCTTCCACTAAGCCTCTTGTTTGGAGGCCCAGACACCTCCCCTCACATCAAGAATAGTGTGCCCGGCCCGTGGATTTAGCTCAGTGGTTTTGCCACCTGCTGCGCAAGCACAAGAACCCGAGTTCGATCCCCGGTATCAAAAAATAAAAAAAAAAAAGAATAGTGTGCCCACACTCACCGTCACTGGGCTGGGACAGGCAGGGCGCCAGCAGTCTGCAGGATCATTTCATTTTCAGCTCACGTTGGCGTCCACAGTGGTAGTTGTTGGGCACTGCTGTCCACTCCACAGAGGAGCAGTGGGCACGGGAGGGGAGAAGCCCGCCAAGGCCAGGCGGTCCGTGGTGTCAGAGCTGGGATCCCAGGCAGGCAGCTGCCAGAGGCTCTCGATTCCAATGTCTCCCTGGCTTTCTGTCTCTGTAACAGCTCAGCCTCGGGAGAGGGGCACTGGCGGAAGTGCAGAGAAGGGGAGTGGGTGGAGGCTGCCTGAGGACTCGGTGGAGGCGTGGGAAAGGCACGTGTGCATCCCCTCCACATGCATGCTGGCTCGGCTCCTGGCCAGCCGCGGGGGTCCTCCCAGCCTCCAGGCCCACACAGCTGGGCCTCTACCTTCTCTGCCCCTGGGAGAGAAACTGAGTCTGGGGCTTCTGGGAGCGGAGCTCCTGGTGACCAGGAGAGGGTCCGTATCCATGGAAACAGTGGGGGTGATGGGTGAGAGCGGGGGCAGGGGGCCTTCCACGTGGGCTCCCTTCCAGCTCCTGGGGCGGTGGAGCAGCACAGGGGACCCCGTTCCACACCTTCCACCCACCCGGCTCCAAGCTCAGCTCCTCCTCTGAGATGGGACCCGTAACAGTCGTTGAGCGACTGAGTGGGGCGATAAAGACAAGGTTCCTAGCGCCGAGCACACAGGGCACAGCTCCGTGGACGGCAGCTGTCCCCAGCACGACACCCTCAGTCCTGCTCCTGCTCCCGCACCAGCAGGGCCCCCTCCCCTCCTGTGGGGCTGTCAGGCCCTCGGCATTAATTCCGGGAAAAACTGTTTCTTGTTTTTCTGAGGAACCCCCGGGATGATCCGGGAATGGGAAGGGGGCTGAAAATGCTGACACCGAGAAAGGAAGTGGGGACGGGAGGGGCCGGGCTCCACCGAGAACCTGATCCCCCAGAGCGGCGGGCGGGCGGCTGGCCAGGTGCTTCTTCCAGCCAGAAGCGGCAGGCAGAGGCCTGGACCCCGCCCCAGCTCCCTTCCCATCGTGGGGTCCAAAAGCTCCAGGCTTTCAGGACGTGTGACCTGGGTGGTGTCACTTGGGCCTCACAGCCTCGGGCTCCTCATCTGTAAAATGGGAGACGGCCCCTCTCCCAGGAGCCAGGGAGGTTCCAGTAATCAGCCTGGAACCCAGCCTCGGCTCACAGCCAGCATTGTTGCTTCCTACTCGACTTTTTCTTATGCTTCATCAGAAACTCTATCGCCGCCTTCTATCCTTTCTCCATCAGTCTCTTGGTCGCTCGCTGTCTTTCTGCCTCTCTCCCTTTTCTACACCAAAGCTGCCGTGGACAGTTGTGCAGTGTGCTCACTGACAAGGCCAGCGGCACTCAGCGGGGCGTGGCTGAACTCTAGGGCCTCCCTTCCCAGCGTGTCTGCTCTTTCTGTCCCGCCCTCTCTGCGGATGCTTCCCCGCGCCCTTCGCCCTTCGCTGTCTTCGCGTGCCAGGGAGTCAAGATAACGCGCGCTCCCACTCCGCAGCGAGGTCCCTGCCCTCCCCAGGCAGCTCCGCAGGCCACACTCCCGAGAGCAGAGCGCAAAGCCCCTCCTGCATCCGGAGCCGGCTCAGCTCCCAGGCCTATCTGCCGGATGGAGGGACAGGAAAAGCCTGCGTGCGCCAGGGGCGGGTGGGAAGGCGCAGGGGTGAGGGGCCGGCCTTGTGTTCTCTGCGCTCAGGAAACTGAGCCAGAGGGTCCTCGGTCCGACCTGTTTACTCCTCAGGAAACAGGGACGCCATGGGCTCTGATTCACCAGTCGCAGACCGTGCGCCCTCTAAGAGGGCTGGTGCCGGGCCAGACCCGGCCCTGGCTGCCGCCCTGGAAGATGCTAGTGGTTGTCACACGCGTGTCACATGGCAGGCTCAGAGGAGCCTGTGGAAAAGGACTTCCCCAAGCACTGCCCGACTGCCACAGGCCGAGGCGGGACTGGCGTCTGCTTCAGAGAGAGTATTGGAGGCGGTTATGTGGGACTGCTCCCCTCCACCTCCTTCTGGGGCTCCCGCTGCGGGAAAGGGCGGATAGAGGCCCTGTCCTCCAGTCCCACTGGGCAGACCGCTGCCACTCCGTGCCTCTCACCACACAGCCACCCCTGCCCAGGCCACCGGGGGGTGCCCAGTCCTCCCCAGCCCTGCCCCAGCTGCAGCCCCCGTTCCTCCCTGACCTCAAGGCCTGTCTCAAGGGCATTTGCCCAGCTGCAGCCCCCAAAGGCCCACACCCTGCCAACCCGGCCTGGCCAGCAGGGTCCCTGGGGGGTTGAGTGCAGCCAGTCCAGCTCAGCGGGTGCACAGCCTGCAGCTGCAGCCACTCCAACCCCACTGTGCTCAAAGGCTCCTCCAAGGGCTTCTGTTTTCCCCATGCTCATCCCAGGAGCCAGAGGGGTTTTCTGATTGTTTAGCAATGCTGGGGATCAAGCCCAGGGTTTCGCAAGTGCCAGGAGAGGGCTGCAGCCCAACCTGCCTTCCGTTAAGGTGTCTGCCCACTGGCCTGGGCTCCCGGGGCAGGACTCTCCCACTTCCCCAGCACCGAGGGCACCAACACACAGGGCTCAGCTCAAGCTGGGAAGGGCTGGACGGACACCCCTGGGGCTCCTGGGGCGTGAAGAGAAGCTGTGGCCCTCAGCTCACCAGGAGCAGGAGCGGGACTGGGCCTCCTCCCTGGGACTCCTCCCTGGGCTGGTGGGCAGGGGCGGGCGATGGAAGGTGGAATTCAGAAAGAATTCCCAAAGTCACAAAGCCAAAGCCAGCTCCAGACCTGCCTTCCGGACCTCCGCAGGAATTCCACGAGGCAGGCCTCCAAGTTCCTTGGGCGTGAGTGCACGGCTCACTCTGAGCCGCCTGGCCGGTGGGGTGTGGCGCTCCAGCTGGGCACACCTCCTCACCTGCCACCCCGCTCTGCTTCTACACAAAGGCGCCAGCCCTGCGCTGCCCTGTGCAGCGGGTGGGGGGTCAGAGGCGGTGTCGGGGCTGTTCCTCTCCAGTCTGTCTGGCACTGTGCAGGGCTCTTACACTGACTGCCGCCCACCTCACTGGGTCCTGTGGGCTTGATGCTTTCTTTCAGTCCTCTGGCAATCCATCAGTTGGGGCCTCATATGCACCCATTTTATAGATAGAGAAATACCCCAGAAAGGTTGGTCGTTTTCCCTGGGCCACGGCCAACATCGGCAGGACAGGGATTTTTGGACCAGGTCTGTCTGGCTCCTAGGCCTGCACTGGCTCTGCTTTCTACCCCTGTGGCTTTGCTTTGGCCCTCTGACCTTTCTGTTCTATTCCTAAGGTCTCAGGGGCCGGGGATTTAGCTCAGTGGTTCCACCACCTGCCTCAAAAGCACAAGATCCTGAGTTTGATCCCCAGTACCCGGCCAAAAAAAATCCTACATATTTCTAAGGTCCCTCACCCCAAGCCTGGCTGTTTCACTGAGTCTGTGCCCTGCCTGTATCTGCCTGTCTCAGCCTCCTTCCTCATTCCTCTCATTCCTGCAGGCTTCTCCCCCGAGAGTGAGGTGCCAGGAGCCACCCACTTGCCCCAAGCTGGCAGGAGTCCAAGCCTTCTTTCTCCCTGGGGCGCATGGAGGCCCTGCCTGGGACCCCTATCTGTCTCCGGGCTCCCGCTGGTGGATGAGGCTGCCTGGGGAGGGAGTTTCCCTCCAGGAAGGTCTGACAGGGAGCGTGGAGGCAGAGGGTAGGGAGAGGTCCACAGGGGGAGCTGGTGCCGCCTGAGCAGAAGGCCCCATCACAGAGGGGTGGTTTGGGTTCAGAGAAGGACCCTGAGGCTCCTGGGCCGGCCTAGGCCAGGGCTGGAGCTCACCCCTTGTCACCCCAGAGGAGGCTGGCCGAGCCTGGGAACCTCAGCCCAGTACAGACTGTTCCTGTCCCTCGGGGCCTGGGGTCACAGCTCAGCCCTGGCGGCCACTTCTGAAAGGCCAGAGCGGGGGAGTCAGAGCACAAGATGGGAGGCTGGGCTTGGGGCTTCCGGGCCCCACCCCACCTGCACACACACTCACACACACCCTGCCTGGCTGTGGGCGCTGACCACCCCCCCAAGTTGCTTTCTGAGGCTCCAGATGCCTGACACCGGGCAGAACTCCTGGTCCCCATTAGGGGCAAAGCCAGGGAGCTACACCGGCCCTTTCCGCACCAGGCACTGGGACAGGCGACTTTAATCACAGCCTCTGGGCGGGCTCCGATCTACGCGGGGACGCGGGCTGGCTCATCTGCCTCACAGCGACCCACGAACCCGGCGCTGTATTCTATTAGCCTCCTTGGGGGAGGAGAAACCGAGGCGCAGCCCTCGGAGGGGTACAGGGGAAGACCGGTCCCCTTCTCCAGCCGAGGCCAGCACCCCGTGAAGGCCCCGCCCTGTCCCCCCCCGGGGGGGTGTCTCTTGGGTCCGCACCCTGCCCAGGCAGGGTGGTCGCCGCTTCGCCTCCTCAGCCACTCACCTGCTCAGGCTGGGTCTGTGGGATGGCGACAGAACGCGGAGAACGTCCCAGCCGAGCCCCTGCGGGAACTGGGGACCGCTAAGAAGGCAGGCGGGGAGGGGCACGGGGCGGGCGAGGGGCAGGAAGGGGGCGGGGCGCTGGCGCGCGCGAGGGGCGGAAAGTTTTGATCAGGAAACCCGGAGCAGGGAGGGGCGGGATCTGAGGGCACCGACTGCGGGGACGAGGGCAGGGTTCCCGCCGCGCCCTCCTTGCTGTCCGCCAGCCCTGCAGCGCGGGGGACCTGACCCTCCTGCCTCGGCTTCCTGTCGGCAAAGCGAGGCTGTGCACAGCTCTGAGGAGGTTGTTCCTTTCGAGCACCTCCCAGCGCTGCCCTACCACCGTGACCTTAGTAGAGACCTGGCCGGGCGATCCCGCATCTCAGTCTGGAAGAGTCCCTGCTCCCGCCCTCGCTACCCGACGGCGCCGGCTCCTCCTCGGTCCGCCCCGTCTGTTCCCAGCGGCGCCACCTGGCGGCCAGCGGCGGTGTGCATCGCCTTCGGCCGGGATAGCAGGGAAGCTGGCGCCCCCTCGTCAACCCCTGGGGTTCCCCGGACCCCTGCCTCGCGGATGGTCCGGGCTGGTCCGGGCTGGTCCGTCCTTGTCCCCGTTCACTCGCGTTGAGCAGGCGTCCGTGCAGTGAGCAGGTCTGCTGACTCCAGGGCTCAGGCTGCGGACGCCCCGACACAGCCTGCGCCTTGGCCCTGAGGAGCAGGAACGCCCCGCTGGAGCTGGTTGTGCTGCGTGTGTCTGAAGTCCCAGCACTCAGGAGGCTGAGGCAGGAGGCTGGAGGGTTTGAGGTCAGCCTAAACTACAGAGCCAGACCCTGTCTCAAAACAAAAACAAACAAATCAGCTAGGGGCCCGGGGTGTGGCTCGGTGATAGAATGCTTGCCTAGCATGTACCAGTGCCTGGGTTTCAGCCCCAGTGCAAAAAAAAAAGGAAAAGGAAAAACATCAACTTTATTGAAGTGTAATTCATGTGCAATAAAAATGGACCCACTTAGTGTGCAGTTGGGGGCGCTGTTTGGCGCGTGTGTGCGTAACTGGGGATCGAACCCAGGGCCTTCGCACGGAGCTGCAGCCTTAGCCCTTTTGTATTTTTTATTCTGAGACAGTGTCTCAATAAGTTGCTAGTTTCCCTGCCTGGGCTGGCACTTGGTGACAGCCTTCCAGTAAAATATGCATAATACAAACGTTATCTTTTCTACCATTTTAAAGTGTACACTTCTGAGACAGGGAGATGGCAAGTTCAAACCCAGCCCAGGGAACTCAGCACGGCCTATCATGTGCAGCCTTCAGTTCTCCCCACTTCCAGAGCTGTTTGATAGTCCCAGACTGAAGCTCATTTGACAGTAACTCCCTGGCCCCTTCCCTGCCCCTGGCAACCACTGGTCTACTTCCTGTCTCTCTAGTCTGATGAGGTAGGTACAGGGAAGCGGGACGTGGTGTGCGCCCTCCGGTCCGGTCATGTCCCTCAGCTCGACCTCAGTGAGCACTGACAAATGTGCTCCTCTCTGCGCCCACTCCCACAGAAGCATTCAAACTTTCCACCCCTCTGCAGACCCTGAACGCCGCTCATCCCAAGCCCCGAGTCATTTCTGCCCCACTACAGACAGGCTTGTTCGGTCTGTAAATGGACCCACACACTCTGCTCCTGTCTGCCTCTTCGCCCTACGGGGCCTCCGGTGGCTCCTTGCCCTGTGCCGTGAGGGGGTCCCACTGTGTGGTCGCCTCTCGTCTCCACCCCAGCTATGGCGTCCGCTGCTGCCCAGCGTGGGGCTGCCCTGAACCAGGCTGCGAGAACGCCGTGGACGCGTGCCGGGTGACGCGGGCTGCCCTGTGTCCTGGGGGCTGCTGGGAGTCCGGCTGCCAGGGCCAAGCGTAGCCCTTCCTGCTCGCAGTTCGGGTGTACCGTTTGAGGTGATTTCAAGGCCTTTGCCTATGCCATGTCTGGAGAATCATTTTGGTCTGGGCACTTTCCACCTGAGAGGGGGCCTATTGTTAGTTGCTGCTTTGACGGAAGGGAGGTGTGGAGCCGGCAGACTGCGGAGTGATGGCTTGGGAGGAAGGGAAGAGGACCAGCTCTCGGCTGTTCAGTACTTTGGCACTACCAAGAGACTCCAGCAGGGGGCAGCAGAAACCAGCGCACAGCACCGGGGCCTGAGGACAAAGTCCCTAGAGCTGTGTAGTCGGTAGCCAGGGGCCTTGAAAGTCTCCTCCCCCTCCTCCTTCCCGCCCCGCCTCCTCTCCTCCTCCCCCCCCCCCTCGTTTTTCTTTTTTTCCTGTTTCTTTTCTTTTTTGAGACAGGGTCTCACTAGCCCAGGCTGACCCCGAACTCACTATGTAGCCCAGGCTGGCCTCAAACCCACAGCAATCCTCCTGCCTCAGGCTCTGGAGTGAGGGATTGTAGGTGAACACACCCATCCCAACCTTGAAAGTCACCTGATCCAGCACGACGAAGGGGCAGCTGGAGAGACGCAGGCCGGAGAGGAGTCCTGCATGCTCTCCCTTCCTGGCTCGAGGGTTCCCGTCCTTCGCCTCTGGCCCAGCTGCCCTCCCTCTAGGTGCCTTTCCAGGCCCTGGTCCCTGCCTTCGCCCCTGCTTACAGAAGTCTTCCATTTGCTTCTCCCTGCCTGGCTCCCCCAAATTCTTGACTTAAAGGACTGACACCTGATGAAATCTTTGTGCTGCAGAAATGCAAGGGACCCAGGAACACCCAGGGCCACGCTCTTTCCCTCCTGGACCTCAGCTCCTCCTGGGCCCAGCCTTACAGCTAAAATGGACCCTTGTCTGGGGGAAGGGGCCAAAGGCCCTCACCCACCCCCTGTTCAGTAAGCCATTCAGTGTTTTCCTAGTGCCCGGGACACGGACGAGGTGAGGGGGTGGTGTTCTTCCACCGAACGAGCATATGCTGATTACTAGGCCTGTTCTAAGAATTTTACACTGAATCCTTATTTAGGTGATGATTTCCCTCCCCTAGAAGACCCCACATGCTAGTTGAGGAAAGAAGCCATTATTTGGTTGTCCAGTGAATAAAGATTTATCGAGCACCTACTATGTGTAGGCTTTGGGGCCACAGCTGTGAAAGAAACAAAACTTCTGCCTGGGGTGGGGGTGTAGCATGGTGGCGTCCACAGAGCCCCCAACACACACACACACACACACACACACACGTGCATGCGCACGCACAGAGCTTACATTCTAGTAGGGTGCTGGAGAATGGATAATGAAGCTCAGTTGGCACAATCATGGATGTATTAATAAAACAGGGAGGGAAGGGGCCAGGCAGCGCTGGGTGCAGTCTTTGGGAAAGGAGTCACAGAAGTTCTCACTGAACACGTAACACGGCTGGAGCCCTGCAATGAAGCAGGCAGCCGGGCAGCTCTGCAGACAGGCAGAGCAGCAACCGCAAGGCCCCAAGGCCAGAGCAGGCACCACGCTCAGGAAACAGCAATGATGGCTGTCAGCAGAGCAGGGCAAGAATGTGATAGGGAACAGAGCGGAGTTCTTAAGGACAAAGACATACAGGGTGACAAACCTAGCAGGCCTCCTAGATGGCAGTAGGGCTCTGGGCCTGCTCTGTACGAATGGGGAGCCCTGGGGGGTCTGAGCAGGGCAGACGCGTTGTCCAGCTCCGGCACTAAAAGAACGACCATGGGCCTGGTGTGGAGGCGCACGCCTGTAGCCCCAGCACAGTGGAGACCGAGGCCGGAGGGCCACAGCTCGAGCCCAGGCTGGCCATCTTAGCAAGACCCTGCCTCAAAATAGGAAATAAGAGCGGGGAATGTAGCTCAACTCGAGGCCCTATCCCCTGGGGGCATGCGAAGGGCATGCTGGCTCCCGGGAGAGAGCTCCCTCTGAGGCATCTCTCGGAGAGAGACAGGGCGGCTGGGGCTGGGCTCGGGCAGTCTTACCACCTCCCGCACACAACCCGGCCGGCAGCTGGAGAGTCAGCACACACCCAGCTCGGTGCTCTGTCTTCCCCAGGGCCCTGAGACGCGCCGGCCACCGCACCAGTGGGGAGGACTGGCCTCTGCCCCCATGCACCACACAGGGGCTGCCAGGAGTGGGGCAGGCCCACTAGGACAGCCCTGCAGGGACAGCCTGCTCCACGGAGCCAGCGTGTGTCTGCCAATGGCGAGGGTGACCCCCTCTGCCTTCACCCCCATCTCCCAGGTCCCAGATAGACAAGCCAGGACCCAGCTGCTCTTCTCCCAGCCTGGCCACCCCATTTCTATTTCAAGCCCTGGCCCTGCCCCTGGGAGGTCCCTGGTGTGAATCGAGCCCCAGCCCCTGCCTTACCCTGCCAGCCTGCCACTCCCGCCCTGGTCTCCTCCACCCCAGCTGCAATCACGGCGCTCAGCCCAGACAAGCGCCCACGCCTGTGAATAATTGGGGCTGACTTAGGGGCCGTGGGGGGGCTAATGGAGTTCGTGGGGGGCCGCCCTGGTGGTGAGGGGAACCTGGGTGACAGCCTAGGATCACCTGATGTGCCTGCCCGCAGGAGGGCAGGGGGCTCTGTCCCTCCCCATCCTGGGATGGACTCGGACTTGGAAAGGATCTGACCCCCTCTCCGCAGGAGGTAGGGGTCACAGCAAAACTAGGGTGGGAGGTCCAGAAAAATCAGAGCAAGGAGCAGGGGCGGGGGGGGGGGGACTGTGGGAAGCTCGAGCTGCTGGTGGGCACAGCCCCCCCCCCACACACACACACTGCCCAGCTGAACCCTACCCCTCGCTGGGGACCCGCTCCTGATTAATGCCAACATTAGCCCCGGACACTCGCCCCTCCTGGCTTCCCAGGCGTTAATTACCTCCTCTTCCACCCTGCGGAGGGGAAGCCAGCTCCTCTGGGGCGAAGGAGCGGGCTCCTGACCCAGCCCAGGAGCGCTCCGGCCCCTCCTCCTTGCTCTGGCAGGAAAAGGAAGAAGAGAGAGAGGAGTGGAGGGAGGCGGCTCCCCCTGCCGCCCCAGGCTCAGCGGCAGTAGCACGGAGGGAGACTGCCAAGCCCAAGCCCAAGCCCCTCCCAGGCTACAGACCTCACGTTTCAGGCTGGGGACAGGAATGTGCAGACCCAACCGAGGGACAGAATCATCACACAGACACCTGGGGACCAGGTCACCACCACCCAACGCGTGATCGCGTGAGAACAGTCTACTCACAGGCTCCCCAGCGCCCCCTTGAGACGCGGGGCGGTATCGCCCCGAATCCCGTCTGGGCGCAGCCTGCCTCCGCGCGAGGTCGGAAATCAGCGGGGTCCTGTGGGCCTCAGGCTGGGGACTCCTCCTTGTCCCCTTTGGTTGCCCCCTTGACGGGCTCCGGCTCAGCTGCGAGGTCTGTGTCACACACACACTCACAGACCCTCACACCTTATGCAAAGTGCAGGGACGAAACCAAGCCCTTTCCAGTCTGCCCCAGGCCCAGGGCACCGAGCCCAGCCCCTCCCCGCCCCGGGTCCCTGGCCCCCCAAGCTGCGTCCCTCCGTGTCTCCCTTTGAGCTGACCTGGGCAGCCCCAGTCACTCCCGGGTACGGGGTGGGGCCTCTGTGACACTTCCTGTGTCCCTCTAACACTCCCGTGTGCCCCGTTGCGAGACCCAGGGGCCTGAAGACCTGACAATCAATATCCCTCAAACATGAGAATGCTAATAACTTCATCCCCTCTTGTCCTCCAACTCCTGCCTACATTAGCCCTGACCACAGGCCCCAGGCAGCTGCGGCCTGCAGTGGGCAGCCCTGGAGCTGAGTAACCCCTTCCCATCCAGGTGGAAGCAGCATGAGGGGGGAGGACAGGCTTCCTGGCACTCTTGGGAGTGGAGGCTGCCGAGATCCTGGGTCCATACCCTGGAGGCCTGACCAGGGTCCTGGAGGATCTGTGACCCAGAAGCACCCTGTGGGGCTCCCTGCCTACTCCCCAGGGGCTGCCTGGAACCAGTGCGCACCACCCCCCAGAACGTATGGCCTATCCCACCCCAAATACCAGGGCCGGCCCTGGGCTGGGGAAGCCAAGGCCTGTGGCAGGCTAGAGAGGAGTCAGGCTAGGAGGGGAGGAGCAGCCGGAGAAGGGTGAGGAGGTCACCGGACACATCCCAGCACCGTGGGTGACGTGGGGGTGCTACCTGCCATCCCCACTTTGCAGGGCGGACACCGAGGGACACACAGCTAGTAAGCCGTGGAAGCAGGCTCCGGTGTGGAGAAGCCTCCCCAGCAGGGACACCATGGTCTCCAAGGAAAGGAAGGTGGGGGCCAGGGCTTCCTGTCCAGCCAGCTGGGAAAGCAGGTGCCTGTGGGCAGCTTCTGTGCTCCCTGGCCTTTCGGACCCTGCGGCCTTAGGCCCTGGCCTGCTGGGTGGGCCCTCCTCCCTCTGGCCTTCCTCGCCTCTGTCTGTGTGCCTCTCCCGGCTCCTGACTCCTCGTCCCATCACCCCAGAACCCCTGCTCCCTGCTCACACCATCCGGGCACTGGAGCCCATCAAAGCTGGCGAGGGCTGGGAGACAGAGAGGAACTGCAGTGCTGTTGAGCCACCTCGCCCCCCACCCTGTGCCCGGATGCCTGGCAGAGGAGTCTTGCAGCAGGCTGAAGGTCGGGATCCCTGGGTCCTGGCTTCTCCAGGGAATGGCCCTCTCTCCTGTCCCCACTGGGCAGCCTGTCCAAGGCCACTTCCGGAACCTGGCAAGGCAGGCTCCGTCCAGCTGGGCCCTCTCAGGGGCCCAGGGTGTGATGCCCTCCCCCAGGCTGCCCAGCACCCTGCGGGCCCCTTGTTTCCAGAAGGTGAGCAGATTCGCTGCCCTTCTACTGGGAAGCCAGCCCCAAGAGACAGGGCGGGGAGGAGGCAGAAAAGGCTGAGGGCCTCGGGGAAAGTTTGGCCCCAGATTCTTAGAGATCCCACCCCAGTGCTGGGGCCCCCGGGGAGCCCATGGGCTTCTGCACCATGGATTCCTTCTCTCCAGAGCAGGAGCGGGCGGCAGCTTGCTGAGCAGGGAGTCGGGCTCTTCTGCAATGCTAAGTGCTCCTGAGGGGCCAGCACCCTTTCTGAGCCTCCCATTCCAGCCACAACAGATTCCCTGAGAGAGAACAGTAAGAGTGGAGAGCAGCCTGCGCCAGGCCCGAGGAGTCCAGACGTCTGAGCCACAGGGCTGTAGGTGGCTGTCCTGGTCTCAGCGCCCCCAGGGGTCCTCAGGGCGCATTCCACTGTCCCCCTGCAGTCATCCATCTCCTGGTGCTCAGCCTCTGGGGTGCACGTGTGGGGGGCTAATGGACTTGGCACGCCAGGAAGTAATTAACAGGGAGGGGGCAGGGGCCATGGTGGGGGTGGGGGCCATTAACGACAGAGGGATCCACAGCCGAGGAGCGGAGTCCTGTGTGCGCAAGTGTGTGCAGCAACCTGCGTAAGGCCTGGGGCCACACTGCTGGTGGGCACATGTGGCTCCAGCTCCTGCCCCAGACAGAGGGCACACCTGTCCCCTTGGCCTTGTCCCGAGGCCTCAGTGCTGCACCCTGTACCTGGCACGTCCCTCGGGCCACCTCACTCCCTGCTTCGGTGAGGGCCGAGTCCACACTGTGGGCCTCAGCTCCCTCATGACGCTGCCTGCTGAGCCTTGCAGTCTGGAGGTGCCCCCTTCTGTGTCCCCGGGGACTCCAGAGCAGGTGGGCAAGCAGGGAGTGCAGCGCGATGGATGGAGGCCCCACCGGAGTCCAGAGGCTCCCCAGGGCTCCCCAGCTATCCGTCTGCCCAGGTCTGTCTCTCTCTGGCCTGTCTCTGCCTCGAAGGCTCCCAAGCAGTGTCTGCACCTCCTGTCCCTGTCTGCATCGGGCCCTGGGCCCACCTGTTGGATCTGATCCCCACTGTCTCCCTCACCCACCCTCAGAGGAGCGGCAGGACCAGAGCCTGCGAGCTCAGCCCATGGGGACCAGGACACCCCACCATCAATCAGCCTGCAGCCCTGGGTCAGAGCTCCATTAGCTGTAACCAGGCCGGACAGGAGGCAGACACTGCCGGCCCGGGGCTGCGGGCGATAAGACCCAGATTGAATCACGGGGGCGGGGGGCGGAGGGACTGGGCACCCAGGGACCGAGACAGTGGCATCAGCCCTGGAGCTGTGGGAGCGGCCTTACTGCAGGAGCTGGCGGGTGACTGGGAGTGATGGGGCTGGAGCACGAGTTGGCTCCTCCCTGGACGGGCACAGCAAAAGCCTCTGGGGTGGGGAAGGTGGAGGCAGGGCTCAGGCCCCGACATGATGCGCTGGAGACCTGAGTGCCACAGAAGCCTGCGACCACAAAGTGAAGGTCAGGGTTATGGTCACAAGGCGAGGGAGACCCCACCAACTCCCTGGAGCAGAGTGGGCCTTGGCCATGGCTCCTTCCTTAGGAAACATCCACTGCGCCAGGCCCTGGCCTCGAAATGCTAATCTCAAACTGTTTACAGCCAAAAAGAAAGAGTGACAGAGGGGAAGTCACAGGGGTCTTGCTTCCTTCGACAACCATTTCTCTGAGACAAGGTCTCGCCATGTAGCCCAGGCTGACCTCAAACTCACCAAGATCCTCCTGCCTCAGCCTCCTGAGTGCTGGCATCACAGATGTGTGCCATCAGCCCAGCTCCTTCACCAATTCTCACCCTGCTCCTTCTTTGTTCCTGCCATGCGTGTGTTGTCTTTTTCTCTACCTCCCTCTCTATCTCTCTCATTTGTTCAAACGTAAGCGTGCTGTGTACTGGGCACACCAGCACCAGACTGACCCATCACTGCTTCCATCCTATCTACCAGGACACCCACCTTCCACCTCTGCCCCGCAGCACCAGGCTCCCTGAACTCACAGTTCAGAGATACGGCAGCGAAGGGCTGCAGGGCAGGGGAGCACGGCCTCACCACCAGGCGAGCAAGGCGAGCCCAGCCACAACGGGCAGGGAGGTGACAGGTGCATGGGTGGGGGCAGCTGAGGGAAACTAGAGGAGGGTCCCTGAGAGCTGACCCCAACCGAGTCCCCTCCCGGTGTGACATCATCCTAAGAACTGGTGAGAGACGGACTGAGAGATAATAAATATAATTGCTGTGCTGGGACTTCGCCTGGAGAAGCAGGAACAGCCCTCTTCCCAGCGCACCTGTTCCCTCTCGCATGCTGAGGGCGAGCTGACGCTGAGATTGACCGGGGGCGTGGGCAGCCCCGGGCAGCCCCTAACCCAGCACGTCCAGGTAGACGGGAGGTGCCTGTGCCAGCGCCTGCAGCCGGGCGTGCACGTCCTTGATGCTGCAGCGCTGCTGGGGCTCCCGCTGCCAGCAGCCCCGCATGATGGCGTAGACTTCTGGCGGGCAGGTGCGCGGCCGCTCCAGCTCACGGCCCTGTGTGATGCACTCGATCGCCTGCGGCCATCAGAGACAGAAAAGAGGGCACACTCGGTGGGCAAGAGCGAGCTACCGGCTGCAGACAACTCAGCTGTGTGCACAGCGAACCCCAGGATTCCTTTCTGCTCTGACTCTGACCAGTGAGGACAAGTGCAGGCCCATGGACACTCGCCGGGCAGGCGAAGAAGGGCCATCTGCTACGTCCCTCAGCTCTACGTTGGGGCTCAGCGGGGAGGGAAGGGTCCTCTGCCTCTCGGCTCTGGTGGGCTGGGAGCAAAACTGAACAAAAATGGAGCAAAAAACAAAAATCAAGCAAAACTGCAGTTAAAGGCCTTGAAAAAGCAGACGGCAACCTTTGTGTCTTTCTCCCTGCTGTGGAGTCACTGTCCAGGGACTCGGCGCCTCTGAAGAGAGACTGCAGCAAGCAAGATCAAAGCGAGACTCCAGGAGGGACAGCTGGGGCCACCAAACATCCCAAGGCAGAGCTGTGGGCAGGGACCTCTTTCCCTTCCTCCCCTCCCCATTAGAGGACCTGGGTTATGGGCGGCACTAATTCCATTCCTCCTCTCAGTGCTTGAGAAAATTAAAATCTATAACCCGCTCCCCACCCCACCAGCCTCGGGGGAGCAGACTGCATTAGCAGGAGAAATGGAAACTGACAGCTGTGAGCCAAAGAGGGGGTGGGGAGCTGCTCTGGGAGACAGGACACCTGGGGCCGGCTCTGCTCAGCAGGCAGCGGGGTGGGCCATCCTCCTGAGGGTCTGGCCTGTGGCCTTCCTGCTGCAGGGCCGGGCCCTGTCCTGTGCCTCTCCCTGCACCCCCTAAACGCCACCTACGCCAGGCTCAGGGTCTGGGCGTCATTCACAAGTGCTCTGAGGTCCCAGGAGCACAGAGGAAGGACTCAGGAGGGGATGGGACAGGGCAGGGACGCAGGACACTGAGGGCCCTGGGAAGGGCCGGCGCTGACCTCGGCATTGGAAAGCTGGTACCAGGGCTGCTGGCCGTAGGTGAAGATCTCCCAGAGCACCACGCCAAAGCTCCACACATCGCTCTCAGTGGTGAACTTCCGGTAGAGAATGCTCTCGGGCGGCATCCAGCGGATGGGCAGCATGGTGCGACCTCCCACCTGCAGGCACCCACATTAAAGACAGATGCAGCTCTCGGCCCGGCCCAGGGGAAACAGCGGTGCTGACTCTGACAGGGACAGTAAAGGACACTGACCCTCCACTGACAGGGCGAGGAAGATGTGGATGGATGAAAAGCCAGAGGCTCAGACCCCCCGACTGCCCAAAGAAGAGGGGTGCGGCCAGCCAGGGTGGAGCATTAGCAGACTTGGGGTACAGGCATCTACGCTTCGGGCGCTGGTGAGGGGCTGGGGTGAGGGGTCCTTACGCGGTAGTAGTCGGTGCTGTAGATGTCCCTGCTCATGCCAAAGTCCCCGATCTTCACCACCAGACCCTGGCCCACCAGACAGTTGCGTGTGGCCAGGTCACGGTGCACGAAGTGCAGGCTGGCCAGGTACACCATGCCTGCCGCCACCTGGCTGGCCACCGCCAGCAGCTGGCCGAGGCCTAGGGGACCCGGAGCCACGTCCTCCCCGCCAGCCAGCAGCTTGGCATCAGGCCCATGGGACCTGCAGAAGTGACAGCCAGACAGGGTAGGCTGAGAGGACTGCACCCCAGGAGCCCAAGGAAGGGGACCCCCAGAGCCAGGGTGGGGATGGGGGAGACTGGGAAGCAAGAATGGATGAAGGAAAGAATGGGAGGCAGCTGTGGGGAGGGGAGGAGGTGCCGAGCCTGAACGGGCGTGCCTAACCCAGCTCCCACCAGAGAGCCGTCTGCCTGCCCACCCCGTGCGTCCTCAGCCCGGGCCCGAGCTCACCCCAGCATCCAGCTGCCCACCGCCCCTGCCTCTGCCATGGGCACCTTGCCCAGCCAAGCCCAGCTCAGATCCTTTTCCCACGCCTGTCTCTGCCTCAATAAAAGGAGTCTCCACTCTGGGCCTGCGCGCAGGAGGTCCTCCCTGGTTTCCTGCCCTTCTCACCTCTGTCTTCAGTACCAAGCTACCTTCTCCTCGTCCCCACATCCCCAGTCTAAGTCATCCTCCCGGGTAAGGAGACAACCCGGGGCTGCTGCATGGAGCTACAATCCCTCCCTGGTTTTGTTTTTGTTTTGGGGTTTTTTTTTTTTGACAGGGTCTCACTAAGTTACTAAATTGCCCAGGCTAGGGCCGAATTTTTGGATCCTCCTGCTTCAGCCTTCCGCAGTGCTGGGATTACAGGCCTGCGTCACCGTGTCCAGCTAGTGTTCCTTCTTCTGAACCTTTGCCTGAGCTGCTTGCTTTGCCAATGATGGCCTTTCCTTTGGGCCAACTTTCTTCCCATTCCTTCCTTCCAAGTATTTGTTGCACATCTCCAAAGGGCTGTGCACTGGGGGCAGATAAACAGGTCACAGAAGTGCAGGTCACCTTACGGCCACTAGGCCCAGGAATGGAAGAAGCCAGGGAAGGCTTCCCGGAGGAAGGACATTTAAACGATGCCCAAGTCCAGAGGAAGAGGCATGGGAAAGCCTGCTGAAGGAGGCCAGGGCAGGGCGGGTGGAGGCTAGGTCAGAGGCCCCTGGGCCGAGCAAAGGCCCAGAATGCAGAGGAAGCAGATGGGTGGCCCCAGAGGGAGTCTCCCACTGCTCCAGCCTGCACCTGGAGCCGCTCCCCCTCACCTGAGGCCCAACTTGATGGCCTCTCCCTGGCTTGCACCCCAGACCTGCCCTGAGCCAGGACCCCACCTGGTGAGCAGGAGATGAGCTCCTCTCGACCTCCACAGGACTCTGGCTCCTCCAACCCAGCCCCTTCCTGCTCAGCCTCGGTGCTGGCCTGCCTCACTCCTGAGGGCTCCCCGGTCCTCCTGAGGGCAAGCCACTGAGTTCCGAAGGCTGCTGACTACACGCACCACCCACTGCTCCCAGGGGAACCTCTGAGGACCAGCTCTGCACCATCAGCTGCACAACCACAGCCCTTAGTTATCCCTCCAGGTGGGGACAGTGAAGTCAGAGAGGAAAGCTACTTGACAAAGAAGGCTCTGCAAATGAGTGGCAGCCGATCCCCAGCCCTGGCCATCTCCCTGATTGACCCTGCCCCTCAGGGGACGATGACTCCAGACCAGGACTCAGCAGGAGAGCACTGGGCCCCACAGCCAGGGCAGGAAGCAGGGCCTCTGCCTGGGCCGAAGGCCACTCACTACCTGCATGCCCCGGAGCCAGTCTTGCCCCTCGGGAAGATGTAGCTGCACTCAAGCACATTTTATGAAGTGATTAGAATTATCAGCACAAATAAATAAGCTTATCAGAGTTTTTCCATCCAAAGGCAAAGAAATGAATCCTGTGTAACCTTCTTCAAGTATAAACTGCCATATAGACTTGGAGACTAGGAACAATATACAATTATACAGGACGCAGACTCCGAGCACAGGGAGCCACAGCAAGGATGAGCACAAGGCCCAGCAGCTCCAGGACTCTGCAGGTGCCGAACCAGCTTGGTGCCGAGGCCCCCTCCCGAGTGCTGGGATTACAGGCGCACACCACCACACCCTGCTCCCTTTCTGACTCTTCTTGGGGCTCCCCATCAGTTCATAGATGAGCAAGGATGTGCTTGCAGGAAAGGGACAACAGGGCTGAGCCAGGGTTGGGGGCCAGCATGGGGCCAGGTGCTTGTACCGGAGGAAGCGATTGAGGTCCCCATGCCGCATGTACTCAAAGACCATCAGCAGCGGGCGGCCCTCGGTGCACACCCCGAAGAAGCGCACGATGTGCTGGTGCTGCAGCATGGTGAGCAGCTCGGCCTCACGATGGAAGTCCTGCCGGGCACTCTCGGACACCTCCTTCAGGGCCTGGGCAGGACCAAGGCTCCTCACTCCCTGCATCTGGCTCCGCCCTGTCCCCAGCCACGCTGCCTCAGGCGGCCCACCCCGGCCAGAGCACCGGGCCTGGTACAGCCATGCGCTGGGGGGCTCCCAGGCCGGGTCTCACCTTGACGGCCACCAGCATCTTGTCCTGCTCAGGCAGCAGGCTGTGGCACTCGGCGAGGAAGACCTTCCCGAAGGCACCCTCGCCCAGCTCCCACTTGAGCACGATGTCCCGGCGCTTGATGTGGTGGACACCTAGGGGCTTGCAGGGTCAGGGGGGCCCAGGCTCCGGCGGGTGGGGAGGGGGGAGGGCAGGACTGTCTAGCAGGACTGGGTGCTACACAAGCCCCAGGTCATGGAGCGGGACATGGTGTAGGGCGAGGCGTAGGGGCTGTGGCCCTGGGTGGGGACTGGAGCCAGGAGCCAGGCTGGGCTCGGCCTCAGGGAGGTGTGTGCCGGCTGGGGTAGGGACAGGTGGGAGGAGGGGAGGGATGGCCAGCTGGGCAGGTGCTGCTTCCACACACAGGTGCGTGCATGCGCGCACACTCACACACGTGTGCACACTCACACGTGTGTGCACATACACTCCCACGCGTGTGTGCACACACTCCCACGCACACTTGACCTCGCCCTCGCCGCGGCACGGCCCCTCACAGGTGTTGCTGAAGTACTGTGGGTTCTCGATGATGTGGCCTTGCAGCCCAGAGCCTTTGCCCTCAGCAGGGGAAAGCGAACTGCCCCCCAGGGTCATGAAATGCAGGGACATGGCCAGCCCGTCCTCCGGAGCCAGCGCGGCAGGGCCTGGGGGGAAACACAGCCACATGGAGGGGCCGCAGCCCAGCTGCCCACCGTGGTCCTGGCCTTGCGCTTGCTTGTGCAGTGCCAGGCCTCCCCTCTTGGCAGTAGGAAGCAAGAAGGCAGGCGGGGAAGGGGCGGCAGCAGGGCCTCTCTCCATCTGGCTCCTGTCCAATCACTGGCCTCAGGGGCACCAAAGAACCCCCCCAGCCCAGACCTCCCAGACCCACTTAGTGTTTGACTGCGATCCAGCCACCAATTAGCAGCTGCTGCCTCTGAAACCACCCTGCACCAGACCCGACACACACCCACTCTCGAGCCCATGCCCGGCCCTCATTGGCACCCCAAACACAGTCACATACCCTAAAACCCCACGCCTCCCCCCCCCCCGGAACCAATCAGGAAGAGCCCGAGGAGAGAGCGGGACTGACAGACAGCCCCCCACTCCTGCACTCACGGTTGATCCCGAACTTGTTTCTCTGTCCACATTTGTTAAGCACGAGGAGCAGGGCGGACAGGAAGAGGCAGGCAAAGACAGCCAGCCCCACGGCCACGGAGACCTGGGGGCGGGTGGGGCAGAGGCTCCCTGCACCCTGGCGCCCAGCAAGGACCCCAGGCCTGCCTCCTGGGCCGGGACTGGCCACCTCCAGCTCCTGCTCCGCCAGAAGCGGCACGCAGGTCCCTCCTCACCCCCGTATCCCGAGCCCTTTCCAAGATGCCACCTCCCGGCTCACCCCGAAAGGCGTGTCGTCTCTCTTCTCCACTGGGTGTCCAGACGTGCTGTTAGTGTCTGTGGGGACAGAGGAAGAGCTATGGGCTGTGTCTCCTGAAGGCCCCCCACCCCGCTGGCTCTCAGGGTCGGATCCGTGCCCCTCGGCCCCTGCCTCAGCTCCCCAGACCAGAGACAACCCGCAGACTGGGCCACTCACCCACGGGCGGGAAGGAAACTGCGGTGGGAGAGAGACAGTTAGATGGAGGCGGAGAGTGGAGTCCCGGCCTGTGCCTGTGCCTGCCGGGCTGGGCCTTCACCTCGGGGCGGGAAGGGGGCAGCGGCCTTAGAGGGGAGAGGCGGGTACCCCGCAGGCAGGCGGCCCTCCCTTCAGCCCAAAGGGTGGAGGGCTCGGCCTGGGGGCAAAGAGCGGGGGCTGGACTCGAGCTCAGGGCCCCAGGAGGAAAGAGCCAGGCCAGACCCCAGCTCCTCCCCACCACCGGGCACGCAGGGTGGGGCCAGGCCGGGACTCCTGCCCGCACCGGGGATGGGGTCCTCGGGGTTGAACTGGAAGGGGTTCTCCATGAAGGCCGCCATGATGGAGTCGGAGGCCTGGCCCAGGGGGTTGGCGGCCAGCAGCGTGTAGTTGCCGTTGTTGACGTGCGTGGGCTGGTTGAGGCGCAGGCAGCCGTGGCGCGCCGTCTCATTGGGCGCCGACTCCAGGAACTGGGTGAAGATGAAGCCGGTCTCGTTGAGCACGGAGCCGTTGAAGAGCCAGCGCAGGGAGGGCGCCGGCTGGCCGTCCACGGAGAAGGGGATGCACCAGTGGTGCTGCTCCACCGCCTTCACCAGCTTCACGCTGGCGGCGACTGCGGGGTGGGGGCGCGTGAGGTTCTAGGGGGCGCGGGGGGCGCGGGGGGCGCGGGGGGCGCGGGGGGGCGGGCCTCGGGAACGCGCAGGGCCGCAGGGTTTGAAGGACATCGACACTAAATCTTAGAACGCCTGGCACCAGCGAGTGTACAGTATTCAAGGCTTAGAGAGATGAAGCGGCAGGCCTAGAGAAGTGGGGTTCCAGCGTCCACCAAGGAAATACGGGGGGGCCCTTGGACACGGGATCTAGGAAACTAAAGTGTAATCAAGCTGAAGATGAGACAGGGGACCTAAGAACTTTTTTTTTCAGTCCTAGAGATTGAACCCAGAGCCCTTGCACTGAACCACATCCCCAGGCCTGTTATTTTTGTATTTTGAGGCAGGGTCTCAGTCACTAAACGTCAAGACAAGACTCAGACTTTGAATTCTCCTGCCTCAGCCTCCCAGAATGGTGGTGGTATAGGCATGTGCCCCCATGCCTGGCCCTTTAAAAACTTTTTGAGAAGAGATATAGGGTGTGGGTTAGAAACAGATCTAACGGGTTGGGGATTTAGCTCAGTGGTTCCACCGCCTGCCTCGCAAGTGCAAGGTCCCGAGTTCAATCCCCGGTACAAAAAGAAAAGAAAGAAAGAAATAGATCTAACCCAGGCCAGGGATGTAGCTCAGTGGCACTGTACCTGTCTGGTAAACGCAAGGTCCTGAGTTCGCTCCCCGGTACAAAAAAGAAAAAGATCCAACCCTGAAAAAGTGAAAATCTCCCAAAAAATAAGGGGGGAAAAGGTATAGCTGGAAGTGGGTGGTGCACACTTATAATCCCACTCTGGGAGACAGAGACAGGAGATCACAAGTTCCAACCCAGCCCGGACAACTTGATGACTTAGCAAGACAGTGTATCAAAACTGAAAAAGAGTTGAGGATATAGCTCAATGTGAAGTCCCTGGATTCAATCCCCAGCACAAGAAAAAAAAAAAAAACTACATGTGTGTATAAATAACTGAAATTCTGGCCAACATTCATATGATGTGCATTGAGGCCCTGAGTTCAATCCTCAAACCAAAAACATAAAAAATTAAAGGAAGACATGGCTCTTGGTTCTGGGTTCCTTTCACAGAAAGTCCAGGCCCTGATTCATTCTAGCCCATGATGCCCAGTTTGCTGCAGTGCCAACACATGTTAGAAATCTTGTGCTGGGCGCCAGTAGAGGTGTGATGCCCAGCCTTAAAGGGCTCATTTGAGGCCCAGAATAAAGTTCTAACTGACAGAGAAAACTGTCCTGGAGCAGTGGAACAGCCAGGCAGCTGGCATCCAGACCCAGGTAGCCAGCGCTGGGCAGGGGCCAGAAAGAAATCCATCTCCATCCCTCTGGCCTTGATGAGCCCCCAGGACTTCCCCCGAAGGATCAGGTTTTCATGGCAATCTGGGAGCAGCTGGGAAGGCCCAGCTGTGGAGACACACACCCACCCTCCCCTCAGCCCCACCCCGTCCTCTCTTGGGCAAGAAGAGTTGGGGAGGCTGCAGGGCCTCCCAGGAACTCACAGGAGACGTTGACCTGGACGGAGACCTCAGCCCGGCCCACGTCATTCTCAGCCCAGCAGGTCACGTTCTTCCTGTTGAGGTCACGGGTGACATTGGTCAAGGTCAGCTCCAAGGACGGCAGATCCCCAGATTTCTGGATCAACAGAAAAGGAAATCAGAAAGGCTTTCAGCAAGCTGGTTGTGGGAGGGAGAGGGCTGGAGCTGATGTCTTTGGGGCTCCTCTGGCTCCAGAGGGAAAGGAGAGCAGAGCTGGGCAGAAGGAGAGGGACAGGAGGGTGGGAGAAGACAGTTTGTTCACAGACCGTTTCCCGGCTCACCTGTCTCGGACCTGATAAACCTCATGCATCACAAGTAACCTCAAAATAGGCACAAAATACCCCAAACCAAAACTAAAGCCACCCATCTGAGAGGTAAGCATTAGATATCATGAACCCCAAGTTCACTATCCGCACACAGCTCACTAGAAAGCGAGTAGAACCTAGCCACCAAGGCACTCATGTTTCACGGGCAGTCTGGGAAGGTCAGACACTAAGAGCTGCTGCTGATACAGGCAGAGGTAGGAGCCATGGCAGTGGCGTGGCCTCCTTGGGCAGATGACAGTGAGGCACTGTGACTTGATTCCCAATCATCATCAAAACACTGAATCAGGTTAGAGTCCCTTCCTTAGACAATTCTGAATCTTGCTGAACCATGGAGGGGTGTGTGTGTGTGTGTGTGTGTGTGTGTGTGTGTGTGTTGAAAACTGAAGAGGTGGACAAAAGGATCTTTTGATATTTTGAAAGCTATTTTCATAAAATGATGAAAATAAATGAGGTGGTGAAGGATATCATATATCTGGAATTTTGGGTTTGTTTTACTTTGGCTTTTTGAGGCAGGGTCTCACTATGTAGTCCAGACTGGCCTTGAACTCAATACATAGCTCAGGCTGTACTCAGACTTGAGATCCTACAGTCTCAGCCTCCTGATGCTGGCATTTCAGGTGTGCACCACCACTCCCAGCTTTCTATCTGGAAATTTCCTTGAGCATGTGTGACAGGAGGTAGAGTTTCCCAGGGTTTCCACTGGCATTTGTGAATTTACGGATGCATGATCTGGGTTCCACCACCTCAGGCTCCCTGCCCTCCTCAGCTGTCTCCTCTCCTCATTCGCCCTGGGGGCTAGGGTCCCAGTTACTACTCATCTCCTTGGATGTCTTTCCCATATCTTACCTACCTGAGGGGAACCAGCCTCCCTCCTCCCCTCATAACTCAGTTAGGGTGTGACCTTTCGGTAGGGAGTTCTTAGGAAATGCAGATGTTAGCAAACACATACATTTCCCAAAGAGAAATCACAAACTGGAATTTCCCCAAGGCAGGCAGCTGATTTAAAGTATCTGCATGCGTGGGCATGGCCAGACCCTGCCTCTCCCTTACTCCTGTGGGCAGCCTTGACTCTGGAGTGGAAGGGTGAGGGTCCCTCCGCTCGGTCTGGACCCTGCTCAGGGCTGCAAGGTTTCTTTCTCCTGCGTGTTCCAGGGGCCTCCAGCAAACTGGCTGACTGTGCTCCCGAAGTGAGGCCCTGCACGCTGAGCACCACACATCAGCCCACGGACCAGATCCCTGTCCCTCGGGTCTGCTCCTGCCACGCAGGCCGAGCCAGGTTTAGGTGGGCACAGCCCTTTGTCAGACCCTGGTGACCCCGTGAACAAAGACCCTTGAATCAGGTGTGGCCACTCTGACCGCCCGTGGCCGGCTAACACCAGAGGGCAAGGCTGGTGGGTGCCCAGAGACAGGTCTGGATAACAGGCCAGAGGAGGCCTGCAGGTGGCCAGGCCACCAGAAGCTGTCACATCCACCTCCTCAGCTTGCAGATAAGAAAAGAATGTGCAAGCAGGTTCAGGGAATTTTCCCAAAATTACTCCAAGAACTAATGCCTGAGAGAGCTGAACCCCTAGCTGTGCTCCCTTCACTAATGTGGTCCTCATGTCCAAGAGACTGGTGCATCCCAGAGTCCAGGAAAAGACTCCCGAAGACCCCCAAGAAGCAGCCCTGGGTGCAGGACCATATTGTGTCCCGCCTCGGCCTCACTGTCCTCATCTAGAAAGCGAGTGTGAGGCGCAGTCCACTAGGGCCTGCTCCCTGCAGCATGTGACCTGGGACCCCTGGCTGTCGGCCACCTCTATAATACCAGAGGGGCCCTAGGTTCTGGCCAAGGGTCCAGCCTGTGCCTGCTCTGTGTGCTCAGGGCTGCCCCAGCCCATCTCTGCTGCCTGTCATGTTTTCTCTGCTCCTTACTTGTCCGGTTGTCTCTCTCTGCTCATCTTTGTCCCCTGCACCCTGGCTGGGCCCCTCGGGCAGGGGAGGGGCTGGGGAGGCCTCTCACCATCACCGTGGCCGACTCCTCCACTTCTGAGAGGATCCAGCCGGCCTGCTGCAGGTCCCGGCCCTGCACATGGCAACGCAGCAGCACGTTGTCCCCCACATCCACAGAAGCATTGGACACCTGCACCTGCAGCATGGGCACACCTGGCCACAGGTGCCCCAGGGGTGTCAGAGCTGGGCGTGGCCGCAGGACTCCACCCCAGGCATGCCCTCCCTGAGCAGTCCTCCAACTTGGCTCTTCAGCCCTCGCCAACAGCCATGGCTCAGGCCCCTCAGTGCTTGCTTCTCAGGGGAGGCGGCCCTGTTCTGTTCCCCTGGCAGTGTCGCCAGCACCCAGCACCTACCGCAGCTGGTGTTGTGGCCTAGTGGCAGGCTCTTGTTCCCAGGCCCCAGGCAGCTCAGGCCCTGTGTGCGCACTCCGCCCAGCCCCTCCTCCGCCCAGCGCCACAGCCAGTGCAGGGCGCAGGAGCAACGCAGGGGATTCCCAGACAGGACCCTGGGGAGGGGCAGAGTGAGGGGCAGCTGTATGGGCTGTGAGCCACTGGAGGAGTCTAGGACAGTGAGGGGGCCGGGGCCAGGTTTCTGTCACAGACTCAGGGACCAAAGAAATAAATGCAGGAAGTTGAACACAGCTAGCTGGGGGTTGTGAGGGCTCCTCACAAAGGCTCCTTGGTGGCCAGCCAGGTGAGGGCCCTCTGGGAGGGTGGTGGACCGGCAAGGCTCCTGCAGGGACCCCAGGCCTGGAGTGCTGGCCACCCCTCCCCGCGCACGCCCCGTGTCTGCTCAGCATGGCTCCAGTCACACCGGCCCCCACTGGGCAGCACACAGGTCAGCCCCGACAGTGGTCCCGCAGCCTCTGCTCTGACGGGTTCATAGGCATGCACAGGCCCCAGTCTCCGCCCTCGAGCACACTGCCCTTGGAGATCCCACCCCCAGCCCTGTCAGTTCCGCACAGACACGGCGACACGCATCACACCGAGACACGGTGCACTCCACACACAGGCCGCTCTGCTCCGGGAAGCCCCGCACTCACAGCTCCTGTAAGGACAGGCCCCGCGTGGCTCTCCAGGACAGAGACTCCAGAGCATTGAAGGACAGGTTCCTGTGGGATGGAGACAATGGACGTGCAGGGGGCTGGGGGCAGCAGGTAAGCCTCCTGGAGTCCACTCCCCTCCCTGGGACAACAAGGGTTAACCCCACTTAGCCCCCTCCCCAGACCCACGAGGGGGCAGGGGGACAGCAGGTCCCCTCCCCCACACCTCTTGGCCCCAGCTGGCAAAGTGCTGAGGCCACAGTTGGGGGAAGGGGCTCCATCTGCGCTCCCCCTCTGGCCCCTGCCAGAGGAGGACAAGGCCCTCAGACTACTTCCTCAGCAGGTCCCCTCCCTTCCTCCTTCCTGTTCCTCCACAGGGACTGAGGAATTTGAAGCAGGAAAAGACCCCTGGGCCACAACACCCTGGGTAGAGATGGACAGAGTGGGCCCCATGGGGGCCGCTGCAGGCCAGCAGGAGACAAGGGAGCCCTGTGCTCTGCTCCCGCAGCAGGCTGTGGCTCCTGTGCCCCTCTCCCTCTGAGGACAGGCCCTGACCCTGGCCTGGCCTGTGGCCCCAGCCTGTGGGGGCTAACTGGAGCAGCACCCTTGCCTGCCCCAGGACCAGGAACATCACCTCTGTGCAGACAGAAAGAGCTGGCTGGAGCTCTGACCTGCCTGGGGGCTGTGTGAACTTAGCACAGAGACTTGACCTTGCTGATTCTCAGAGTCCTCATCTATACACCAGGGACAGCACGCCCTCCACAGCAGGTTGATTGTAAAGACTCAGTACGTATGACTAAGAAGTGGTGTCGATGACATATTCTTCACTGAGGGCCCAGGACCCAGGGAGTGATGTAGCAGCATTGTTGCTGTTGTTACATCACTGGGCAGGCACAGCACTGTGAATGCAGGCTCCCACCCTTCCCTGCCCTCTACCAGCCTGGGTGAGGCCGGGAGCTGAACTTCTGCCCCTGGAAGCCCAGGGAGGGGCTGCCAGGGACGGCAAGGTTATCTCCTGGCCACTCCATGCCCTCTCAGTCCTCTACGGGAGAAGTAGCTGTGACTCAGAAAGCCAGGGAGGGTGATGTGGCTGGTGTATATCTGGGCCCCTCCAAAAGGCAGGGCAGGCGCCTGAGTGTAGAAGTGAGACAGCGAGAAGAACCTGGAGCAGCAGGCGCGAGGCTGAGCTGGCCTTCTTCAGAAGGCTTCCCCGGGGAGGGCCCGGCCCATTAGCGGGGCAAGTCTGGGTGTCCTGGGCCCGCTGCCCAGCCCCGACACTCACAAGCGACTGAGCTGAGGAGTGGAACAGAAGGCATCTGGCGCCACGGAACGGAGACCACTCTTCACGATGGTGCTGGGGAGGGGGCGCGTGATCAGCCTGGTCCTCAGCTGTCTATCCTGAGCCCCGCCCTCTCTGCCCATCCTGGTCCCAGGTTCCCAGGGCTGAGCCCTGCACCCCTCCACGTCCGCCTTAGCGTCCAAGGCTATCTGGACCTTGCGGACCCCCGAACTTCCTGACCCCCCCCAGCCTCTCACTGCTCAGCCTCTCAGGTTCTCCCAGGCCAACGTTTTGTCCCCAGGGTCCAGGCCCAAGCCCCACCCCTCACAGCCCTTGGCTCCTTACAGGTTTCTCAGTTCGCCCAGGCCCTGCAGGTCACGGAGCTCCAGATGCTGCAGATGTTGCTGGTTCTCCACATAACTGTGGGGATAAGGGGGTCATCAAAGGGCTCAGCCCTCGCTTGAATCCCATGCCCTCAACTCCCTCATAATCACGATCCACATGTGTATGCATGCACACACATGTGCACTGTTCACACACAGGCCCCCTTGCACACTTACATATGCACAGACACAGGCATGCATGCATATGCAGGCGCACACCTCTTCACAAGTTCCTGCCTGCATTCTCACAACCTCCTGTGTATGAACACACATATCTCTTGTGCCTACACACACCCAAGATGCATATCACACAGAGACACGAACATATGCCCAGAGGTGCTGTGGCTCATGCACACTCACACCTGCACACACCATGCAGGAATAAATGTGTGTGCACAAATGTAGGTTCATATCCTCACACATGGACACATGTAGTCGAAGCTCACACATACCTCTCACCTGCACACATGTGCACATGTGTGGAAAATGTGCACACACACACACACACACACACACCAGTCCCTTGCAGGCTTGGTTCTCTGCTTCTGTGCCAGGCCTCCCTGCACACGCTGCACCGTGGGGGCCACACTGAAACACCTGCTTCCACATGTGGGGTTCCTCACTGCCACTGCCCACCCCAGGCAGAGGAAGCCCTGTGGCCACAAACATGTGTGCTCCCAAATGCGCCCACTCAGGGCCATTCTCTGGGCTCACTGTGCACACGCACATACACACACACACCCTGCCTCCTCTGCCCCCACAAACCCCTGGCCCCTTTCCGTACTCAAGCAGCGGCCTCCGCACACACCATGCTTTCAGAGAGCAGGCTGGAACCAGACAGGCCCTCAGGTAGAGAACCCCAGACCCCACCCTGTGCCAGGAGGACCCTGGAAGGGGAGAAGGGCAGCAGGAGGATGGAGCTACAGGGTGTGGGGCGCAGGAGCAGCAAGGACTGGCCAGTGAGATGGAAAGGCTGAATGGAAAGGGGCAGCAAAACAGAGTAAGACATGGAGGAAAAGAAAGCAACAGGAAGAGACTGGCAGAGAAAGAAGGTGGCAAGGAGAAAGACAGATAAGGACAGAGCAAGGGAGAAAGGGAGGCAAGAAAGAAAGAAAAGCAAGGAGGGCTGTGGCTGCTAAGGGCTGTCTCTATTGGCTCCTGGCTCCGGCAGCCAGGGACTTCCTGAGAACTCTGTTGTCCTGCAGTGGCACGTTGGTGTGCAACACAAGCACACCAGAGGCCCTGACTCATGCCAGCTCTCAAAACCCCCACCACCTAGGGAAAGTCCAAAGGTAGTCCAAAGGGCTAAATAAGGAAACCAGGACTGGCATAATGGACCCATCTGCCCTTCCAGCTGTGGCCCCAAAAGAACAGCCAGGCGGCAGGTCCTCAGTCCCCAGAGGCCAGACCTGGGGAGGGAAGGTCCTTGTTCTACCTGAAACTCCCCAGCTCTGCCCAGTGGGTTTCAAGCTGCTGGGACCTGTGGAGGTGGTGAGGCTGCACGGCCAGCCTCGTGTGTGTGCGCTGTCAGGCGGTGTGCTCAAAGCTGCCTCATTCGTTTGGATTCATAATCAATCTGTCTATTCGAGTCCATTATCTCCTTGTTAGCTCTGCGGGTGAGGGAGGAGAGGGGGCTGCCGTGTAGGAGGAGGTAAGGGGGATCGGGCTGCCGCCCCACCCAGAAGGACATCTCAGTCATGGGGCCCCTAGTCCTAGCCCTGGCCTGTCAGGTCCTCTACCCCTAGGCTGGGCCTACTTGGGGCTCGAAAGGCACTGGGAAAGAGCACTGATGGGAAGCAGTCAGGAGCCTGAAGGCCCCATGATGAACACACGGGACCAGGGGTGACACCGCGCATCTCCTGTACCCTCCCATCAGGCAGAAACCTAGGCCTAGACCAAGACAAGGCCAGCTCCTAGCCTCCTGGTCCCCCTAGGGCCATTAGAGAGATATCGAGTACCTTCCCGTTAATTACAAGATGCCCGAGTAACTCAGTGCCAATTATTGCAGGCTGCTCAAGTAACTTCCAGACAGCGACATCCCCCACCCTGGATTCCTCCTCGCCTGTCACTGCTTCAGGCCAGGGCTCCTGCCCACCCACTACCCCCGGGTCACAGAATGGGGATCTTCCAGCAATTCTTCCCTTCTTCCAGAGTCCTGCTGGCTCCACCAGCCATAGAGCATACTCAAGTCCTTTCCAGCCACCACCACAGGATGCCTGAGTACCTCTAGGCCAATTATGACAGCACACTCCCATAGGTTTCACCAGCTGCTCAAAAGTACTTGAGTATTTTTTAACCAATGATTGCAGAATGCCAGAGCACTGGAGCTCACTGAAGCTGCCTCCCAGCTTTGGATCCGGAAGGGAGGTGAGTCCCTCGACAATGGCCCTGGCTCCCTGACCCAAGTAGGAAAACAAAGGTGGAAAGGGAGGTAGGAGTGGAGGGAGAGAAACCAGCAGGGAGTCTGATTTCCACATCCAAATCAAGGGGTCCTGGGGCCAAGGAATGATGGAAATGGGAGAGGAGAGCTCGACCACCAAGCTATGGCTCCTCACCAACTCCAGCTCAGTTCCCAGCCCGGGGGAAGAGCCAGAGGTGCCTGGTCATGACAGGGAAGGAACTAGGGGCTGGCTTCTCCCAGTAAAGGGAAAAGAGTACCCGCAGGGAGGGGCTTTCCGCAGCTGACCGCGCCTCCAAGGGGCAGAGAGCCCTAGAAAGGGGGTCTGGACGTCTGGACTCCTCAGACCGGATTCACAGAAATCCCTCTTGATCTACTCGAAGCTGGTGTGCCAGCTGTCCCAGCCCTAGTGACCTCGGGGCTCGCCAAAACGGCAGCGGCCGCGGAAGAAGCCAGCTTCGTGGTGCTGTCCCCACCAGGCCGCCCCGCCTGACCCAGCTACCGAGCCGCTGGCCCGACCCTGGGGCAGGGCTATCCCCTCCTGCCGCCGCGCCCCCTCGTCCTTCCACACTCACAGTTCTGTCAGGTTCTCGGTGACCGGCAGGTCGCGGAGGCTCTGTAGGGGCGAAGCCCTGGTGCAGCGGAGCCCGGTGGGGCCAATGGGGCAGCAGACATCCGGGCAGGAGGTGGCGCCCACCGATGCTAGCATCAGCCAAGCCAGCAGGCTGCCCAGCGCGGTGGCTCGGCGGTGCCAGCGGGGCCGCCCGCGCTGTCCGCCTCGCAGCATCGCGCGGTCCGCCTGCCCGGCCGGCGCGTTATCCGCACGCTGGCAGCAGCAACCGCGGCTCCGCTCCACGTGCGCGGGAGGTGTTAAAGCCCCAGCTGGAGGGGCGGGGCCAGCGGCCGCCCCGCCCCCGCTCGCCCTCCCGCCCCGCCCCGGTCGGCATCTCTCCGGATGTCCCTGTCCACGGAGTCCGCGGGTGTCGAGGAGGAGTGGGGCTCTGGGAAGCTGATGTTATTTCTCGCAGCGTGAAACAGCTGCGTTTTTAGATTTCGCAGGAGGGAAGACGCGAGCTGAGAAAAGGTGCAGTCCAGGCCATCCTGGCCAGCCCGGCCCGACGAGCCGCGTGCCCGAGGGAGTGCACAATCAGGTGGAACACTCTCTGCCCCATAAGAACGGGGAGACTACCCAGGAGGTCCGAGTGCAGAGGGGCGGAGAAAGAGGAGCGCCTGCCACAGCCGCAGGCCGACCCGGGAGCCGGGCCAGCGAGCGGAGGCCACGGGGTGGCGCTCGAGGCCGCCCAGAGGTGGCGCTCCGCCCGGGGCTGGCGGGGCACAGGCCGCACGCACCCGGGGCGCTGCGCCGGGGCCGCAGGGCCAGGCCTCGGCCAGCCAGCCGGGCCCGGGCGAATAGGACCAAGCCGAGGAGGGCTGGCATCGATCGACGTCCTGACAAGAGCATCGATCTCCGCACGCAGAAATTAATAGATCTTCGCTTAGCTCTCCGGACGCGAGTGGAGCGGGGATGGCGCCCCGGAGACCCCGGCATCCCCGGCACCCAGGGCCCCGAGAGCAGGCCCAGCCCTCCCCGCTGCGGGCCTCGTGGCCGCAAGACCCCATCAGCCTCGAATCGAGGAGAGGAAGGAGGGGGTCCCGGAGGAGGACTCTCGGGAAGGGGTGGGCAGGCCGGGGTACAGCGTCGGGGTCCTCAGCGAGGAGGGTCCCCAATCCCCGACAGTGTAACCGAGCAGCCTGGTGCAGGAGAGAGGCGGGACACACTGGATCGCCCCTCGCGGGGATCTGGGCCGGACCGGAGGGAGTAGGGGGGGACAGGGACTCGCTGAGGGCCAGGAGAGAGGGTGCCCTCCCGAGGCTGAGGGGCTCCGAGGGGCGAAGAGCTCGAAAACACAGGCGCCTCCACGTTCTCGCCAGGTTCCCCCAGCGGGTTCGAGGATGAGGCCGCGGATGCCGCCCGGCAGGTGTCGGGCACCTGTTGGCAGCATCTGGAGCTCGCTCGCTCCGGAAAGGGGACCCGGCGGTCGCTGCCGCTCCAAGAAGCCCGCCTCGGGGCCGGGAGGGGACCCGCCGCGAAGCGGGCGGGAGAAGGAGCAGTTCCCGCCGACCCTCCCCCCTAATTTTGGCCTTATTTCCCCAACAGACCTGTCCCCCCTCAGTTGTCAGGCTAAATATTTTGGCTTGGCGGGAGGGGCGGAGAGAACTGGGAGGTCCGGCAAACCAATCCTCCCCGCCGGGGGCGGGAGGAAGGAGCTGGGCGCGGCCCGCGTGTGCCGCCTGCGGGGAGACTCAGCCGAGCGCCGCCGCCCGCCCGAGGGCTCCGGGAGGCTCTCGCGCCGCCTCCCCCGCCTCCGCTCAGCCTCGGGCCGCCGGCCTTCTCTCCGCTCTAAGCCCTGTGTGACGTTCTCCCTCCGGAGGCCTCTGCGGCTCTCACTGCACTGTCCGCACCTCCGTCCCCATCTCTCCGCCTCCGGATTCAGTCTGTCTCCGACTGCCTGTCTCGGCTTTGTGTCTGTGATCTTCCTTTCCTTCTCCTCTTCCCCGCCGGTGCAGGGCTCCTAATCCCTCAGCCCCTGGCCACCCTCACCTCTGCAGTGTGGGTCTCTGCCTCCCTGACCGTTTCCCGGGCCCTCCTATCCCACGAGCCACCCACAGCACTGCCAGGCCAGGGCTGGGCCATGGCTGGGCCCCGTCTGTGGCCCTGGGGACCAGGCCTGCTTGTCATCTTCCTCTCTTCGGGACTTGGCCTGGACACGATGAAGGGTGAGTGCCCTGCCCTGTCTCCCTGACACCCCCCCACCACGACGCCCTCCCAGACAGCTTGGAGGCCGCAGAGTTGGCCTCCAGCCAGAACACGTCTGCTTTCTGTAAGACCTGAGGAATGAGGTCAGCTCTCAGAAGGACTTCCCACCCACCGGGAGAGGCAGTTAGTTGCCCACATAAGGGTCTGAGGTGAGGACTTGGAATCAGGAGGATGAGCAGATGCCCTCCACTCCACTCCTTCTCAGGATTCACGATCCCAGTGAAGCCTGGGTGAGACAGGGTGAGACTGTGAGGGTGTCAGAGGTCATTTCCAGGGCCCCTGAGTGAGAAGAGGCAAGGCTGGGGCAGCTGAGAACCAGCAGTGCCAAAAGAGGAAACAGGCTCAGAGAAATGAGCGCTAAGCCCAAAGAGTCCTGAACTTGGGGGTCCTCTGTGGGGGAGAGAGGCTGGTCTGGGGGAGGGTGCCTGGACCCTTTTCCCAGATGACACTGGGAGTGTGCCCAATGTGGTGGCCTGGGGAGGGGGCGGAACCTCGTAGATCAAAGGTGCTGAGGGCTTAGTAGGGAGAGGAAAGGAAAGCAGAGGGGGAAATTCACAGAGGGGACAATTGAGTGGTGTCTGTCCCCTTCCCAGTTCTACCATCACTGCAGACTGAGGGGGCTCAGGGATCCATCGTGCTGCACCCGCCTGAGGCATCTTAGGCTGGAGCTTCCACACTAGGGGCAGAGTCTCTCCTTCCCACCCAGGCAGGGCAGTGGTGCAGCTAGGGTGGGCTAGGGGTGCCCTGAAGGGTGCTGTCCTCAAAGGCTCACACACACCCTGAGCCCCTGCCTGCCACGCTGTGCCAGGACAGGGCACAGCAGATGCCAGCCAGGAGCTCAGTTGTCAGGACACAACCATGTCCCTGGGGGAGGGGCCAGTGTTTAGTCAGCGACCCAGATGTCCCATTCCCAGTGCAGCTCTGCGTAGACTCAGACCTGAGGGAAGCCAGGGGTTAATTTGCAAAGGTCTTAAGAGTTGTTTTTCTAAATGACTCCCATCAGGGGAGCCCTGGAGAGGCAAGGGCATGATGGGAAGTGGGCGCCTGAGAGAACCCCCATCTGCCTGGCAGTGCCTGATTGGCCCTCTCCTGGAGGAGATGGAAGTGTTTTCTTGTCCTCTCCCTCTCTTTGTGTGTGTGTGAACCTGCCTGGGTGCATGTGTGTGTGTGCGCGCACACACACACACACACACACACATATGTATGCACGAGCAGCCGCCAGGCAGTCAAGCTCAGGACCATCAATGACAATGGGGAGAAGGTGTGCCTGCCCTGCCCCTGCCTGGCCAGGAATGGGCCTGGGCTGTGTGATATCTGTGATAGTGGTGGAGGCTGGGTGGGAAAGGAGCACAAAGAGGCTGGAGAGGTGAACTGGACCTGAAATCAGGCTGGAGGATTCCAGCTTGCATCTTCTGCAATGGGAAGCCATGCAAGGCTCCCTAGGAGTAATTGAGGCCAGGCACCCAGGCGCCAGAGGGGGACAGTCCTCAGTGCCTTGGGGAGCAAAATGGAAGTGGGTGGGGCTCCGTGTCTGAGGAAGCCAGGCACATGTGGGTCCCCAAGGAAAAGTGGATTTGGGATCCAGATGTCCATAGTCCACAGTCCATGACTGCCCTTGGCTCCAGCCCTGGACTGGGCACTGTGGCAGGTACAGTGCCAGCTCAGGTAGGGCCTGGGATGTAGGTGACAGTGATGGGGTAAGGCCCCATGTGTGCTTGTGACTAGCACTGCTGGACTAAGTGGATGGAGTCAGAAATGGAAGTAAGTCACAGGGGCAGAGGGTTAGGGAAGGAGTGCTTGGCCTGAGGTCTGCAGGCCAAGGGCTGGAGACACCTTGGAGAAAAAGTGGAGACTGGCCTATCTACCCCCAGTGTGTCAGGCCAAGGAGCTGGAATGCGAGCCTTTGGCAATGGGGAGCCATGGAATATCCCATCAGAGTAAATAAATGAAATAAATGCAGGGGTCAGCCAACTGGCTCCCTTGGGCAGGAAGAGAAGTGAGGAATATAGAGCTCCATGCTCACTGCTTCCAGTAACAGAATTCATTCATTCTGATGAATTATACAAAGATCACTGCCTTTGCAGAGCTTACAATAAATAAAAGAAGTAAGCAGAGTACATATGAGCCGGTGTTAAGGGTCACAGAGGAAGATGAAGCAGGGTGGGGGTGGGTAGTGCCTCCCTCAGAAGATGTAAGGAGGCAGAGCAGCCCTGCCATGCCAGGGAAGAGGGTTCTAGCTACGGGAGTGAAGGTATGAAAACCCTGAGGCAGGAGTTTTGCCAAAGAAAAGAGAGGAAATCAGAGAGCTTATGGGGCCCAAATTGTACAGGCCTCCTTGGCGGAAGTAAGGGCCACCTTACCTGGAGGGACATGGGAGCCACGGAGGTTTCAACCAGAGGAGCAGCGTGATCCAACTGTGGTTTCAGTGGGGAACTTTCCACAGAAGGGCAAGGTGATGTGGGAGGCAGTTGGGAAGGCTGCTACTGTAGATTCAAAGAAAGATGACCATGGAAACAGAAGGTGGTGATGAGCAGTCAGGCTCCAGATATTCCTTCACATAGAGGCCACAGGATGCAGAGGGAGAGAGATGGGCTCCCTTCCACCATAGTGACACACCTGGCAGGGACCGCACAAAGCGAAGGTGCACCCCTCAGCCAGAGCAAAGCCTGGTCCCCCGTCCAGGTCCTGCCGCCAGTGCAGTTCATCTCCCCAGCACTGCCAGGGCAGGACGGGGTCTCACACCATGCCCCTCATGCTCCCACAGTGTGCCCCAGCCTGGACATCCGCTCTGAGGCGGCACAGCTGCGGCGGCTGGAGAACTGCAGTGTGGTGGAGGGCCACCTGCAGATCCTGCTCATGTTCACAGCCACAGGGGAGGACTTCCGGCGCCTCAGCTTCCCACGCCTCACCCAGGTCACGGGCTACCTGCTGCTCTTCCGGGTCTATGGCCTGGAGAGCCTTCGGGACCTCTTCCCCAACCTAGCAGTGATCCGTGGAGCTCAGCTCTTTCTGGGCTATGCCCTGGTCATCTTTGAGATGCCACATCTGCGGGACGTGGGGCTGCCCGCGCTCGGGGC